TGCCAAGAAGTGACGGCTCATTTCTAAGCAAAGTTACAGACGATAACTCATTTCTGAGCAAATTTATGGGCATTACTAAAATGCCAATTGCAATGTGTTCTCACTCACAAGATAAGGTAACTCGTCTCTGAGCAAAAGTAACGAGGTGCTACTGAATTGTCAATATCTAGCTGAGCGCACACACACAGACTTAATGGAGACTCATGTCTGAGCAAAGTTATGGGCACTCATGCTGAAGTAAAGAAGACTCATTTCCAAGCAAAGGTATGGGCACTCACTCAGAAATTAATGAGACTCATCTCCAAGCAAAGATATGGGCACTCACTCAGAAGTTAATGGGAATCATCTCTGAGCAAAGCTATGGGCTCTCCCTCGAAAGCAAGGGAGACTCATATCTGAACAAAAGTTACTTACTACGAAATAAAGGAGGCTCAATTCTTGAGCAAAAGTGCAGACACCATTGGACTATACGACTCGTATGTGTATATATATACATGATAGCGGTGGTACTCTGTGCGCCAGCAATGCCGATTGGCAATTGCTTCCCTAGACTTGAGCGATCCAACTACTATCAAATGAAAAGTATTTTACTTATTATTTTTCAACGTAGATCCCGCAACGCAGCATCTTGTGCGAGCGGCAATTCGGTTGCTAATTTCGCCAGCATGTCGCAATAATTGTTGGCACGGACTTAAATGGCCGAGGGTTCTGCGGAGAAGTTTTCCATGTTGTTCGTAAGTATTTATTAATATGCGTTATATAACTAGGTCGTCCCCACCGCAAGATTATTAATAGAAGCTTGTTTAATGTTACATAAGGGTCCAATGTAAGTATGCCAGGTCAGCATCGTGGCAATGGCCGTTTGTAGGAGTAGGAGATCTCATGACTTTGATTTTTCTAAACCTAAAGTCTAGAAAGCCTGATTGTATTAATTTCGACCACCGATTCCGGATCTACTGAAATTTTTCTACTGAAAAAAATCAGAGAGATTTTGAGTTTTTAAACCTCTAACGACTATAAGCACCTATAAAACGTTCAAATAGGGTTCAAACTTCCGGATTCTATCGATTCAAGCACCAACTCCGGATTTACAGAAATTTTGACTTCAACTTCAACAAATTTGTAAAAGTTTGATTTTCTTTAAACCCATATTATTCGAACATATCAGATCATAAAAATTAGTTAAGAGTAATATTATCAAGTTAGTTTGAATTCCTGATTTGTGACCACAGAATGAGGGCGTGTCGTAGGCGTTTCTTATATAACTCGTCAGACTTCCACATATGGCCGCTCCCATGGTTACGCACAATGTTGAAAAAATCAGCAAAACAACTTGAATTTCTCAATAGACGCATATCTATGCCGATTCTTTCCACCGAAATTACGGTCCTCCCGTGGTGTGTGTACCAGGTTAGGGCCATAATTTTATTCCGATTTACCTTATTTCAGTTCTATTGCGAGTTCGGGGACTGTCTGTGTATATCCAAGTAAATATACCCCCTGCCAACAGGCTTCAGTCCCTTCACACAACTAGATGTCACGTAGATAGGGCTGGGCATTTCGAATCGAATATTCGAATCGAATCGAATAGTGAATTATTCGAATCGGTTCAGAGCTAAATTTCGAATCGCCGCCATCTTGTTTTCATCTTTCCGCTAATCTTCAAGGTGAATTCCTCATTTTTTTTCATTGGAGTCGTATTTTTTTAACGAAATTCTAACATACGACTATTTTCTTATTAATATAACGTGTTTGTTATTCTGTGTGAACGCTCAGTAATCTATCTGAGTGATTTGTTCTATGTCTTCAGTAATTCATTTGTTGAGAGGATCAATTACTATAATAAAATCGCTTACAATTATATATTTTCAAGTATTCGAGATTCGATTCTATTCGAAAAAATTATTCGATTCGATTCTGAAATCACAAGGTATTCGAAAATGCCCAGCCCTACACGTAGACGAACAAAATTAGTTATTTCCATTTTGGTACACATACTTCTGAAGTGCCGTGTTACCAAATTTATATTTAATCGGTATAAAAGAATCGTTCTGGTATTTGTATTGCGATAGCTGAACGACGCCATCTCCCCCAGTGCGAAATAAATTGGTCGGCCAATGCTGAACAGAAAATTTCAGTTTTTCCTAAAATAATAGCTCATTACATTCCAGTCAATGCTGAACTAGACCTTTGTTCGCGGCGATCCTATTACCCAACCTATCCAAAACTATTATAACCTCACTTACCAATAGTAGTTTCTTATACAGCTGTTCCCAATCGGGCGCCACAGAGCAATTTGATGGGAGCTACGATGCAAGGTGCAAAATTGATGCAATTTCCTCGTTCTCCGTAGTATGGTTAGCCTCCTTGACAAGGTTATTTCTCAGGGTGTTTTCACTTTCTTGTGCATGAATTGTTAGATCATAATAAGGTTTGGAATCGACCAATCAAAATAACACTATAAATACCTTTGCTCTGCGAATTCTGGCCTTTAAAGTTGATTGGCAGCCCATCTGATCTCGCCTACTTCTAAAAGACAGTTTCTAATATTCCCAAGAAACGAAAACGGAACGACAATTACGTTGTCTTCGGATTTACCGAAGTACGCCTAGAATGTGCGCAATGCGTGCATTGCTGACAGACTATTTTTGACATGGTGAACAGGGGGCAATGCAGTAGTGGGATTCAGCCGGTTCGCACCGGTTCTATAGAACCGTCTCACGGAATTTTATGAGATCAGCGAACCGGTTAGCATTACATGACTTTTTTAACAGAACCGCCTGAAAATTCGACATTTGTATGATTGAACCGGCTGACAAAAAAATTGAATCTCACCATTGGGGCCATGAGTAATAATAGACTCTTGAAGGGAACCGGGCCATAAAGGTTGGAAACCGGGCTCTTGGGCAGTTTCGTACCACAATAACCTCTAGTGAGCATGCCGCAACAATTTTTTTAAATGTCATTCCTAACCCCACCTGGCTACGTTATTCAAAAACTACCCCACTATGACGTCACAGTGACGTAATAAAGACCATTAAAATATACGGATGGTCGCCTAACTCTAAAACGAGAAGACGATTAACCGAAGTCGAGAGAGCTGTTTCTCTCGTTTTCTCGTCGTAACGATCCCGATATAAGAGAAATTGCTGGCATTGATGAATACGTTATCGTTTAGCATTAATGGCCGCACTTTTGTCATTCCAATGGTATTTATAGTGTTATTTTGATTGGTTTGATTCCAAATCACTTTATATACAAACAGTTCATGCCCAACAAAGTGAAAACACCCCATGAAATACCTTCAAACAATGAAACTAGGGAGAATTGGGATTTTACTGGTAAAGAGAAGAGTAAAATCAGTTTTGCGCCTAGCATTGTGGCCTCTCTCCAACTGCTTTGTAGTCGCCGGTTGGGATCCCCTGGTATATATATATAACAGAGTCTCATCAGATGAAAATTGGCTACAAAAATCCGATATTCGTGCAAAAGCATTACTCCCAGACAGGGGCGTGCCAAACTAGTCCGCTGCCCGGGGCGAGTTTCTGATAATGCTACCCCTTATACCTAACTTCTAAAATAATTTGGGTGATAAACAGATTATAGATGTCGTTATACACGAGAATAAATCAACTAAAGGTCAAGTAAGAAAGAAACGTTTGTTTTATTGAAATGAGCATCAAAAAGGTTGCAATTATAAAACATAGGAAACATTTTTCCGGGGTCAAGGGTCGGGGAAACAACCCTTGTTGAATAACCATCACTCCAGAACACATACTGTTAGATTTTAATTAAATAAGAACACATCTAGAAGAGCATGTGTAATAACGCAAATTCTGCAGCTCGGTTCTGCTGCCCGGGGCGGTTGCCCGATCCCCCCCTCTAGGCACGCCACTGCTCCCAGACAACATATTTATACACGATCATTCAAATGTAATGTAATTGCATAAGAATATAAAGGCAATCAGGAAAATGAAAAATTAAAATGGATGCTCCAGAAGTATGCGCGCCAAGATGTCGCACAACCTGAACCCTAACCGGTACACACATACTATGTTCAGGTTGTGCGCCATCTTGGTGTGCATACTTCTGGAGGTCCTTATAATGAGTATTAACAGGTTATTATGAAGAAGACGGTGCTCCGTACACAAAATATGGTGGACGCATTTAGAGGATTTCAGACAGAGGGCTATGGACTCGTCTTTGGCATGATTTCACTGGATTCGGGGTGTATTTTCAAACTATCTGAAATCGAGTCAAAAATCTAAATAGTCGAATATTCAATCTTTCATTGGCAATGAGAGAGTCGAAATTTTCTACAGAAGAGCATTATTTAACAGTATTTTAATGAAACCTTAAATATGCCAAAATTATTGTTATTATAATTCGATTTCCTAGGAGTTCAGTACTTGTTCATCAGCCTGTTTGATTGGAATATAATCGACATTTCAGGTTGGTAAATTGCTAAATTTACAATGCATTTAAAACAACTAAGTAGCCACGTAATAGGAGTTAGTTCTGATCAACTGTGTATTATAATTCAAAACAAGATTTTGAACCAGAAAACTTATGATGTAGAGATTCATGTCAAAAATAGCAGCCACCGCAAGACATTTAGACAGATATTTGCAAAAAAAGGCGGGAGGGATTCTGCAATTTCTAATTGTTAAGTTAGACCATAACAACTGGCAGGTCCAAGTGGGTTTTCCACAGCTTTGAGTGTCTAACTCTAAAAAATCTAGCGTTTCAAGCTAAACTAATTGCAATGTGTGATACAGAATATTAGAATTTTTCAAAGAGGGTTTCAGGTGGCCCATTCCCCCCCTCTCTGGGTGCGCCCCTGGCCTAAATAAAAGTGGCTGCTTGTACAAAGCCTTGTTAACTTTAATTAAGAATGTAATCAATATTTTAGATTAGTAAAATAAATTAATATTATATTGAAATATGAAAGAAAATGAACAAAATCACTGAAAAAAAAAACCATTAGGATAAGGTAGAATAAACATAATGAATGATTCCATAAATGGACTACAAAGCAAGGGTTCTCAACCTTCATTCTTTTACAAATTGAAAAAATAAAAATCGACCCTCAAATTTCTATATATTTAATTAAACGAATACTCGTAAGCAGAGACAAAGCCAGAAATTTTGTAAAGGTTTTGGGGCGCGTGGCTATTGGAATTTTTTAATGCCAAGTTGAGGTGCAAACGTGAGATTTCAAGAGTCGTCAGGGCCAGAAAAGCGTAAAATATAATCGTCAATACAGTTGTTTTGTTAATATAATTCAGTGAAGCGTCACAGGCCGAATTATATTGTTCCACGGGCCAGATCTGGCCCGCGGGCCGTAGTTTACAGACCCCTGGTGTAAATGCTTAAAAGTGGTTACATGGAGCACGCATACAACTACATTTAGACCACATTTAGTTTCTAATTTTTACCCCAAGCAAAATTCACCCCATGGCGGTGGTGGCCGGTGGGTTCATCGGACATCATAATGTAATATGTGTACTAGGTTGAAGTTAGGCCATAATTTTAGGTATAAATACTACGGGAGGCTCTTGGCTAGTCTTCGAACTGATAATAGGACTAAAATAAGGAAAATTGGAAAAAAAATTATCGCCTAACCCTAACCTGTTACCCATGTTACGTTCCGATGTCCGCCATCTTGGTTCGCATACTTCGGGAAAACCCATTTTTGTTTTTTAAAGCTATAAGTGTGGACACGGTTTTTTCAAACGAGGGAACTCGTTGCTAGTGAGTTCTATACAAAAGAGAACTCTTTCCTAAAATTCTAATTTTAACCCCTAAGTAAAATTCACTCCCAGGACATTGATGGGATTCAGGAGATTGGGGTTTGTGCGAACTCGTTATTGGAATGTCGTGAAAATGAGAGAGAGGTATAGAAGCTAAAGTTTTATGAAATGAAGGAACCTGTTGTGAATGAGTTCGATACAATAGAGAAATTTGAATCATATCACTGCCTCAGGGGGAATTCCCCTCCCCCAGTTGAGAACCCTTGCTTCAAAGTGCGTCTAATCTGTTTTCGGCTTCATTGAAGTAAGAGCGATCGTCCACAGAAACCCACAGAAGTTACCGAAAAGCACTCGCATCTGTGAATGGTAATGTTATTATTATTTATGTTTGTTGTTGAAAACGACAAACTTGTTCCTGGTCTTCGCCTTGTGTTAATTTTTTTGGGGGGGGGGGGAAATAGCTTTCTTCCCAACGTTTTTGTGGCCGTGTTTTGTAGAACTTGTTTTCTGGGCATGATAACCTAGGGCAGAGGTTACCAATTAAGGGCCAGTGGCCCCTAGAGGAGGCACAAAGCAGTTAAAAAGGGGGTCACATTTCTTCACTTTACAAACAAACACTCAGTTTTTCCTAGCTTCAATTCTTAATAAAGTTATTTCACAAGGTTTTTCACTATGTTGAGCATTAATTGTTCGAACATAATAGGATTTGGAATCTACCAATCAAAATAACACTATAAATACCACTGGAATGATAAACAGGGGGCAATGAGTGCAAAAGTCTCCGGAAAGAGCCATAAAAGGCTGGAAACTACTAAACTAGCAGTTAAATCGCTACACTTGAATATGTTGGCAACGCGGTTACAATCTTTGGGATCAAGTCCCACGAGCATCATCTCCCCTAGGGCAGGATTTCCCAACCTTTTTGGGCCGAGGTCCCAATTTATGAATCCTAGTTTTGACGTATTTCTGTGCTTAACTAGCGAAAAAGGATAATATTTCATTCACAACACGACAACAAAAACGACATTTATGTGATGGATGAGGTTACTTTTCACTGCACAATCTATCAATTCTAAGAGCAATTTGTGGCAAGTCAACTTGTAGGTCCGACTCTCTACATGTAGGTCGTTCAAAAATAATTTTTTAATTGCCTTTGCTGACAGCAATGGATATTTGTCCGCACCGCACAACCCAAAAGAAAAATGGCTTTTTGATTGAAATCAATCATCAAAGATCGATCAGACTCTTAACATATTGTTGCGGACCCTCTGTGTAAACCCCTAGGGGTCCGTGAACCCTACTTTGGGAAACCTTGACCTGGGGTTTAACAAATTGGGTAGACAGTGTCGTCTCATCCAAACCATGTTCAGAGTGAACAAAAATAATCAAAATAAATCTCTCACCTCAGGTGGAATATAATTCAAGTTTATGATCTGAGCGATCGTGTAATATTTCCAATTCATCGTCAATGTCAACCAATATGCTGCTTGGAGCCGAAGTTTCACGGCGTCCCATGATTGATGCTGAAAGGGTTAAAAAAGAAAGGTTAAAGGTGACAAAAACAGGAAGTGAAAAACTGTTTCCTTGATTTTAGTGTCAACTTTTTTAAACAAAATCCGGGACAATTAGGCATTGACACGCTCCCTGCGACTGCTGCGAGAAACCTCAAATTTAATCGAGATGCATCTAATCCGGTTAGAAAAAAATTGTTGGTATTTTCTTTTCAATTACTACGTTAGGCAGCGAATAAACTAACTCCATTGGTCTATTGTGTATAAAAAAATGGCATCTCTTAATTATCACACAATTATCTCGATTTCGGGTCAAGAAAAGCAAAATTATCTTTTATATTGTGTTTTGTGATATCGACATAATTTGGACAGTGACCTCATTGTTGCCTGGGTATAAGAAATAGAGGGCAATTCGCTCTTTTGTAGATGCTATGTATATAAATATGGAATGATCAACTGACTATATCTATTTCCATACGCTGTCCAGACTGGTAATCTGCTTTAAAGGATTCGTTAAATGGTTGAGCCTGAGCGGTTCATTCGCCACCGCTCGCCCCGTTTAAAAATTCAATCATATCCACTGTATATACCGGTATATAGACTTCTGGGCCTGGACTAGTAACCAGCTATAAGGCTGAGACTAGAAGTCTATTGAGAGACCGTAATTCGCTATGAGGTTAACAGAGCTAAGGTGCTGTCCAGACTGGTAATCTGCTTTAAAGGATTCGTTAAATGGTTGAGCCTGAGCGGTTCATTCGCCACCGCTCGCCCCGTTTAAAAATTCAATCATATCCACTGTATATACCGGTATATAGACTTCTGGGCCTGGACTAGTAACCAGCTATAAGGCTGAGACTAGAAGTCTATTGAGAGACCGTAATTCGCTATGAGGTTAACAGAGCTAAGGTGTCTTGTTGGTTTTCTTCTCCCGTGAAATCACTATAAAAAACCTCGTACCAACTACTCGTCCGAGTTGTCCCTATCGAGAAAACAAAAAACTCACTTCGGTAGCAGCCATAAAAGAATGGAATAGAAGGGTAAAAAACGGTGACAGAATTAATCTCTCGATAATTAAACGCTGAATTGCTGCCTCCGTGGTTTTCCCTGGTACGGTCTTCATAAGCCATCCATAGAAGTAATGCATGACCGGTCCCGAGACAAACAAACCGAAAGCACCATATCTGTGAGTAGTAAGTTGCAGTATTTGGGAAGCTTGAGTCATTATTTATAAAAAACTAGGTACTCTCTAAGTATGTGAACCAAGATGGCGGACACCTAAACGTAATATGTGTACCAGGTTAGGGTTAGGCCATAATTTTATTCCAATTTTTCTTATTTTAGTTCTATTACGAGTTCGGGGACTAGCCATTTGACACCCGTAGTATTTGTACCTGAAATTATGGCCTAACCCTTACCTGGTACACATACTACGTTCCGGTGTCCACCATCTTGGTTCACTCACGTTTACCGGCCTCCGAACCCGCTAGCCGTTACAGTCTAACTTGACAATTAATACCTTCAGAACCACATCTCTTTTATTCAAAATTCCTGGCGATGCCCCTGTGATCGATATTTTACAATCGGCTCGCCTTGAAAAAATTTCCACTCCGACTTCTGAGTTGAAAAAAATTCGAGTCGTCTCAGAGCCCCAGTTGAAATTAAATTGATACCAAATATTTGGAGTTCGCAAGCCCCCTTCAATCGACTGTCGAGAATAAAAGTCTGAGTCAATTTTTCACAATCCAGAGTTGATGGTCATTTTCAAATTTCCCCAACTGCACAGCTATACCGTCCCTATTCTTGTTCCATATAAACTTTTACAATCATTTATATGATCTCACCTTAACGCAGGAGGCAATGTGATCTCACTTGCCATTCCACGACGGATGTCAATGAGTTGAGCTGTGAGATTGGCAGAGAATGAAAGGACGGCACTAGAAAAGAAATTGAGAGGTTATTCATAAAAATCAATAACAAATTAATACCAAAGCAAATATTGTAGTTAGGAATAGTGTTCAAATTGGGAGTCAGATATGACAAAGAAAAAAAATCGAGATTTGGCTGAGGCGGGCTCATGATTTTTGCCTCAAAAGCAATAACAATTTAACAAGACAGCCGGCATCATACAACAGTTTTGTCAAGTTTGCATACAAAGTTACTACATAACGCAGGACAAAATTGCCTATCTTTCTGAAAGTTAACATACATTGCAATAGACTTAGCTATTATTTTTATTGACCGGATTGTCAGAGCATTGTTCGGAGTGGAACACTTTGCTTACCTCGTTATTGACTTCGTCAGAATTGGATTCTCTCGCAGACATCTTACATATTTCTTCTGTAAAACTATCAACATACTCTTCTGTTTCTTGCTGTATTCTTTGTCCATTATGTGAGTTGTTTGTTTATTATTCAATTACTGAATTATTGCACTATTTTAAATACAAATACCAGTATTATATAAACGCTATACTGCAGATAAGATCAGTGGACCGTTGCAACTCCTCTAACAGTCTAACAAAAAGCAGCAGTGATGTACTATCCCTGTTTCAGAAAAACTGCAGAGTACGGTGTGCTAACTGCTATTATCAGTAAAGTAGATCTGGCTGTTGCTGTCTAACCGTCGTTGGTGGTATTTTAAAAGATTCTAAGCCCTCGGGGGCGTATAGTATACTATAATACTACAGATGGTACCTACAGACCTACCTGTATTGTGCCAACTTTATATTTCTGATATATATTTACACCAAGATTACTGCAACACAAAGCAAGTAAAAACAACGTCGGGCGGCCTTGTATTTCGTTACTGTATTAAGTTGCCATACAGACACTACATCACCACATCTTAAAGCGAGTAAACACAGTGCAATGGCCTGACAGGCAGCGTAGTACCGTATTTCTGTACATCAGTCAGTCAGTAGGAATAGCGACGTTTATACCTTGTCGATTGCCATTTTGAAAACCCCTTTGCAAGGAAAATTGGGCTGCTGAAATGACATTATGCAGGTACCGAATCACTGCTTGTTACAGACAAAGTTTCTTTGTTTTATTTTGCATATATTTGACCCGGGGTTATTTCGAGAGAAATCGGTCATTGCACTTTTGTCGAATGACCGCTAATAAACTACTCCCTTCAAGGCGATTGCACCATCTGTTCGTGGGTAGGAATAGGCCTGTCGGCGGGAACAAAGTCTTTTATCGATTTTTCTTTTCTCTCGTTTTTGTGTTTGTTTATTATTTCAAATCATTGCCAGTCGGCTGTTTACAATTTATTTGTGCTAGGAGTTTGCCGGTTAGTCTGTTAGTAATGCTAATTCATATGCCGTAATGAGCGGATTTATTCGCTTGTCTTTAAGTTAAATAATAGGGTTTGATTTGTTTTCATATTGTAATGTTGCTATTGTTTGCATCTTTAGAATTAAGTATGTTATTAACCTGCCTGTTGGGTTGGTCGTAAACTTTAGCAACCCTCAACCTCAACCTCAACATAACTTTATTTGGACGTCTACATTCTACAATACTGTGATCGTCGTGTCTCTACAATACTGGAATTATTTGTTCTTATCATCACACAATTTCGTCGTTTATTTATTCGTCTATATCGTACTTGTGCATGTAGACTGGTATTTTATCGACTGCATTACATTTCGTTCATATTCAAAGTTGTGGAGTTGTTAATTATCGAGAAACCTGGCAGGTTATACATCAGGGGAAGTTAATAGCGCGAAGTGTCACCGCCCAACACGTTATACAGTTATAGGCTTCTTGTAGAGCCTCATCATAAGTGTTAAGTCGCTTATAATCTACACTGCTAATAAAGGCAAAAAAGACGAGTAAACACAGCAGCGTACTAGTAAGCGGCAGTCTCGACGGCAAAATGACCGATATTCCTGCACAAAGCACTCAAGCGAACCATGTATGTAAACAATTTTTCGATGTATGTACACTTTTAATAAAAACGACAATGATCAATCGAATTTTGCAGTTATATTCAGAAAGAAAGCAGCTGCAATGAAAGGGAAAGATTCACGTCCCATCATATGGCAATACACTCCACGCTGCAGTAGTGGTAAATTGCTTCGAGTAAACACGCATCACACCTAACTAACGAAGGAGACTACCGGCGGAAAACATTCCTCCCAAGGTATGTTTAATACAGAACTTTGTTAGCGCAAGTAGGCTACAGCTTATCATTATAAAAAGTTTGAAAAGTGGACAAGTGAAATCACATTGATGATGCGTAGTAAAATATTTACAGGTCAACATGAAACAAAAGTACTATTATTTACTTTCATCTTCAACGATCGAAATGGGGTTCATTAACATATTATATGAGTGACGTATTGGCTTACGAATACACAAATTGTTTACTGTCAATTCCAATGCTTACCCACAGTCCCACATTCGATAAATAGGCGTGTTACTTTGGGTGAGCGAACACGTACTACTTCTTTTATCAATACCTTTCCATCTAAAATCTGTACGTTTCAAACCTTACTCTAGGTTTTGTTCGCTTTCCCGATTCTATAATCAGTTACTTTTACTTTTGTTTTTATCTATTTTTTCATCGTCTATTGCTGATTATGGAGTCGAAATAAACTTATTATTATTATTATTATTACTTACATGGAAACAAGGCCGAATCTCGAATTGTTTTCCACATGATTACGTTGACAAGGTTATCTTATTGGCTATCATTTGGTTTTAAAACCATATACCGTATTTGCTCGTTTAATAGCCCGCTTATTCTTTTTGAACATACTCACTAACCGGGCCCTTATTCAAACCGGCCCTTATTCAAGCAGGGGCGCTTGTTATTTTTAAAGTAAAATTACACACAAAAATACTGGTAGATAATATCGATCGTTACAATAATTAAAACCGTATATTGTCATTTCCAGTTCTCAAGTATGATTTAAACGAGAATAATGAAAATTTTGACTTTTTCTACGCACCGCAGGTACAAATCCGCCAAAAAAAAACTTATTAATTTTTATGTCCTGTTCACACAGGCGGCTATTCAAGCGGGCCCTTAATCAAGACCGGGCGTTAAAACGAGCATTTACGGTACTTGCATTGGGGATATAAGGGCTTTCAAAAACTTCCTTTGAAACATATGGGCCCTTTGGTGGAATGAGGTTAGAGATCCTCCCATAAGTACGTCATTATAATACGGGGATTGAGGACACGTCGAGTGGAACACTCCTCCATATACGAGGAAGATTCAATATGCCTACTTCTCTATCTAAAGAGCCACTGCCGAAACGGCGCTCCAGAAGTATATGCACCAAGATGGCTCACAGCCTGATAACTCTAACCTGGTACACATACTATGTTCAGGTTGTGCACCATCTTGATGTACATACTTCGGGAGCACCGCCAAAAGTTCTTATATATCTATAGGGGGAAAAGTTTGATAACTCATCTGCGTGCATCCAAGTTCATATATCTGAAGGAATGATTATTTCCATGGCCGGTATGAACCGATAGAACAGTTACCCGATAACACTTAAGCAAATATAATAAAAATAATTCATAACTTGGCCTTCAATCAGTAATGAATACTGAAACTTACTTATTCAATTTCAGATAACACAGAAAACTAGTTACATTCCTATTATTAATATTTTATATATATATATAGGGCACCAAAGTCTTAAGTGCTTAGGGCAGTGATGGCAAGGAATTTGAACCTGGGGCCAGAAATTTTGCCCACCTAGACTGGCGGGCCGTGTAAGCGTGACGTAAAAAGTTACATTTCATAAACAGAATTTTATTTACAGTGTTACAAACACAAAAGTGGAAAACAATAAACCTCGTGCCAAAACTAAATTTAATTGCAATCTCAACAAATTCCTTGAGCTATTTTTCAATAAAAGTTTTGGTTTTAGTTTGTTGGTGGAAGCATTAGGCGGACCAAATTACCCGTAGTTTGCCCATATCAGGAGTAAGGCCTCTGAGAGCAACGATCTGACGCTGGTTACAGTTCATCAAAAAAGATATAATCCAGCGGCCACAAATGAGCTTCATCCATTGCTCCATTGTTCTATCTTTTGCATAAAATCCAGTTTAGCTCATCATTCGGGTTTTTATTCACCATTCCTTGGGCAAACGGATATTCACTCACACAGAGAGCTATGTGGCTAAATGTCTTTGTTCTCACCGGAAAACGTCTCTTCCATTTTACGAAGGTGGCCTTTGAACCGTTAAACCACGTGACTGTTTCGTCCTAAACGAAAATGAACACATATGAAGTATTGTGAGATAGCTAGGAGTTTTTCATATATTTATCTCTCGAAGTTGATAAGATGGCTTAATTACTCGTCCGGTTACTGTAACAGTCCGTGTCAAGTATTGGATTAGTTGTTTGTTTTGGATTCGTGAATCTGAAATTTTTTTAATCGGGATATTTTACAAATTAAAGTTTAGGTAAAGGTAAACAATATGATATGGAAAATTTAGGTATTTTCCATAATACGACCATTTGCAATAATATTTCCCGAATTACTTCCACTGTTCCCTGTAGAAAAATATGATGAATGATCATGAATATTTTAAGTAAGAAGAGTTCTAAACGATTTACAAACTTTGTAGATTCAGTATCAGAACGTGCGTGTGACATCACAATGAACAGTGACAATCAAATCACACGTGAAACATGGAACGAACATTCTAGCTAAGCGCTGAAAAATATGATGAACGAGACTTTGAAAACATAATGTTGCAAGTGCGCAATGAGATTTTACCGCGCAAATGGTATGGTGGTACTGCGCAGTTGCGTACCTTAGAGGGAATCTTGATTACCGCTCTTGCAAAATGAAGTTAACGCATCCCTAGAATAGACGATACTTTTCTTGTAGTGTGTGTACCAGGTCAGGGTTATGCCATAATTTTATTCTAATTTTCTTTATTTTAGTTCCATTGCTAGTTAGGGGACTGTCTGTGTTAGTCAAGTGAATGTTTCCCCATGTCCATGAGTTTCAGTCCCTTTACACAACTTGATGTAAAGTAGGCGAACAAAATTAGTTACCTTCATATTGGTACACACTACACACACTTCTGAAGCGCCGAATAGACTGATCGTACTCACCGCCGTATTGTATTTCATTCCAAGTCTAACTATCACCGTCTTGGATCCAATTTTTGTGATCTTTTTTAAATATTCCATCGTTTGGTTGTATTGCCGCAGACCGTATATATTTGCTGGCGTGGAATTTTTCTTCTTGCAAAGAGACGATGCTTTTTTAAAGTTGCATTTCTTACACTCATTGGCAAAATAACATTTTCGTTGTTGCTTTATTCCATTGCAAGTAGCTAAGAGTGAAAAATGATTTATAAACTTGTGTAGATGTATAACTGTAGGGTTTTGTTGGCTCCCAGTGGCGTATCTATTTATGGCCGCCATGGCTCACGCAACTTGATGTAAAGTAGGCGAACAAAATTAGTTAACTCCATATTGGTACACGCACTTCTGGAGCGCCGAAAAGTTTTAATCGTAAAATGTTTCAATAAAATAATTTGAAAATGATTAAACTCGTATTTTTACTTAAATAATAACATACAAACATCTCCATTCAACAACAGTCTTTAAATTTCAGTCAACGATCAACGATCGCATATTTATACTTCGCTATGGGCGCTATTCTACGTAGGTACGCCACTGTTGGTTCCACGAGGTACGCACAGTGCTATTCACCGAGTTCAACAAATATGTGCGAGCGAATTGAAATCACGACTCCTCACTGACGTAGTGAGGTAATGTGTTAAATTGAGTTGGGTTACTTCTTTCTCCGCCATCAAGTACATTCATTGGGAGAGAATGATTGTTTACTACTATGTACCCATTAACATAGTCGTTGTAAACTGCTTGTTTGATGAGGTCTGATTTTGGTCGGACGAAATGTTACAGAAATACATATGTGTTAATTTTGTGCAGCACATATATATCTTTATATTACTACTATAAAATATAAATTAAATTTCTGATTCATTAGAACAGTAAATGAACAAACTTACAGTTTGTTGTTGGTGCTTGAGTCGGTGCAGCTTTGTCTTTTACCTTTCTCTAAATATTAAAATCAATAGGTGAGTCCTTTACACTAGGGCTGGGTATTTTCGAATACCTTATGATTCCAGAATATTTTTTTCGAATCGAATCGAATCTCGAATACTTGGGATATATAAAATTGTCTGTAACTTTCTTATTATATTAGGTCCTCCAGAAACATAAATTACTGAAAACATAGAATACAATACTCAGTCAGATTGCTGAGCGTTCATACACAATAAAAAACGTGTTTTCATCAATAACTCATTACAGAAAAGAGTCATATGTCAGAATTGCGTTGAAAAAATATGGCTACAATAAAAAAACTGAGAACTTTAACTCGACAATTGGCGGAAAGAAAAAAACAAGATGGCGGAGATTCGGAGTTTCGCTCTGAACCGATTCGAATAATTTACTATTCGATTCGATTCGAAATGCCCTGCCCTACTTTACACCCTGCGGGGAATTCTTTCTCTGTTTCAAAATATTAGTCTAGACCAGTGGTCGGTATACTGCAAACTAAAAATATTTGTGACCCACGAACGACCTCGCTTGAAGTCATAAAAACAATTGCTCATAAATTAATTATTAGCCGTACACGTGTGTATGTGGTAACAATGGCAGTTTGGGCCTAAAAAAGTAAACGCGTTAAAGTCTTGAATAACGTCAAATAAAAATGCGACGCGAAAAATGACTACTGGTAAAATTTTTATTTCTTTCAAATAAAAATCGTTTTCGCGTGGAACGCCATACTCTTTGACATGGGACATACCTGCTTAATTGAAAATTGTGTGTTTTGATTTTAGGTAAACGCGTTGCTTACGGAGGTGCGTCGTTTATCCCGCTAAATCCGACTGTTTTAATTAATACTTACAATAGTAATTAGCGTTAGGAAACGTCAGTTTTAAGTCGTTTACTTGTCGAAGGTGCCTACCGTTAGTTGTAATTGGCACAGCCCAAAAAAAATGGATAATAAAATTTAAAAAAAATTAAAAAAAAAATTCAACAATATTTTTAATGCAGTTTAGTGGCATTGCAGCGAGGGAGACATGAATTCTTATGTCTTGTCAAACACCATTTTACTCTATTTTTGAACGATTTTATGAACACCGACATTTCCTAACTTGCTATCAATAATCTTTTCACCAAAAAGACCCGAACGAGATTCATGAAAATGCACGGTTGTATACCTTGGATAACTTCGACAGCGAAGTTACGTCTGTTGAGAGTTTTTTTTAGGATATTTATATATAGCCACGAGTAAGCGTCGTATTACGTCATTATGCCAAAAAAAATGGTGGCATCCTCCCCGCCAAAAAATGGTTTTGCGACGCTTTTTCTACCACAGCTCTATATATCTAATAGGCAGAAAGAACAACCATTAGACTCACCAGTGTCAAAGTGAACACGCAGACCAATACAGTGATGATAAAAATCATAACGACGAATAAAACTACAAATTTCTTCTTCCAAGAAACGGCCGTTTTTTCTTCATTTGAAGGGACTAAAACAGGAGTGTGCAGGCTTTAATACAGTTGGGCCAGATTCAAATAACTGGGTGAAACTGAGGGCCGCATCTTTATGCTTTTTAGTAGTTGAAGGCACAAAAATTTGGCTATTGATCTTATGTACTTTCGTATTGTAACGTTATGAGCATGAACTCGTTTCGCGGGCCACCCAATTTTTTATTGTGGTTCGCAGGTTTCACTCTCCTGGTCTAAAACAATCACTGAGGTATTACTAGTCAGCAGAATTGTTATTTAAAAGGAGAAATATCAGTTCTGTTAGTTACACGTGATTACTTTCCCAATATATTGGTTAGAAAGCTCATCTACGGGCGAATTTCAAAGACCTATGAAATGCTAAAAAGTACTGAAATAAGGTGCATTCATGTTGTCGCATTGTACGCATTCACTAAAAACAAAGAAAAAAAAATCGGTACTCCTGAAGTATGCGCACCAAGATGTCGCACAACCTGAACCCTAACCTGGTACACATCCTAAGTTCAGGTTGTGCGCCATCTTGGTGCGCATATTTCAAGAGGTCCGGAAAATCTCTACAAATCTGTGCGGCCCGCGAAAGTATTTTTTAATTAGGTTTAATATGGTACGTGCAAGTATTTCCAATACCCAATTTATCATCTATACCCAGTTATTTGTATTTAGTCCTACCGTGTTAAAGTTGCGCACCCTTGGTTAAAGACTTGAAGCAGATGAAGTCAATAAGCCTTAATTGGGCAGGGAACGGTGAACACTTTCAAATTACTTATACGTACCTGAGATTTATAGCACTTTCAACAACTCACCCTTATTTATTGAGTTGCCGCTTCCCGTGGTGGTCGGAGTCATACGCGGAGGTGGAGAAGTCGGAATCGAAGGTGGAATCGTTGGGGTATCGTCGTCAATATTAGAATAGATCTCTTCACCTATAAGGAAAACACGAATAACATGAACATAAACGAAGAAAAACTATTTTTCCAAATAGCTGATATGTTTTGAAGCAGTGTTTTTTAAACTTTTTAAGCCGCGATTCCTTCTTATTACCCCTTTTGTCAAGTCTCGCGCCCCACCTCGAAAATAACTAGATAGCAATAAGCTACAAATAACAGATAGTGAGGGGAAAGTATGCTTCATTCAAAAAAGAAGTGAAAAAAGAAGCTGTTGTAAATTTACTGTTTTTTATTCTTAGTTTTTCATATTTAGTTTTGAGCTTCGGCCCAGTAAGCAAGTCTTTTATCTGTAACTGACCCAATCAAAAAATTGACTTCAATATTGCTAGTTACACAAAACGTCACCTTCAAGAATAGCGTAGCCATTTTCATCCGATCTTATTCCGGATACTTCTGGGTGACTCCTGTCACAGGAATCCGGCGTCTCATTTCTTCGATTTTCTGTAGCAGTTGGTGCAGCTGTAGATTCCCCATAAGCTATATTGTACTCGCCTTCGATTGGACCTATAGAAAACAACATCTAAGTGAAGTTTGAGTCTGACGCACGGGATATTGCCCGGGTTGTCCATGAGAATCCCATTCGTGCCATGGGAAGCACAGCACACATTTGTATTTTCCATGGGACACGAAAACCGTATGATTTTCGGGGAAATGATGGTAAAACATTTCGTTATGGATTTCGTGTCCATATATTTGAGCTTGGTTCTCCTGTTAGCTATATAAAAAGCAAAATATATATTCAGCATTAACAATATACTCCGTGAAGGGGCTGATGGACACATTTATAATAGTTATGACTATAAAGTTAACAAAGTCCGTAAATTTTGTTGTTTCGCATATCTCTTCGTACATGTAGTCCTATTTATTGAACGCTAAACATAAACTTAACAATTTTTATTGTATTTTATTCCAATGGGAATCCCATGGGATGGGACAGGCATACTGGCTATGAGATGGGAATGGGACAGAAAAATATGTCCCACGGATAAGCCTGGATATTGCAATCGTTTTAAAACGCAGTTTTGTCAGGGATGTATATTGGCCGGAATAGCCTATGGCAACGGTGGGCAAACCGCGGCTCGCCGGAATTTTTATGCGGCTATTCTCGCTGGCAATAATTACATATTATTCAAATTTAACTACGAGAAACTGTAGAGAAACAGTTTTTATTTAATTCATTAGGCGGTTGAAAAATTATACTTTGCAATATTGTTAGTATACGTTTGTGTCAAGTTCTTTTAAGTTCACGGTAATCTAAAATTATTAATTTCAAAAATTATAGGGCTCTCACATATTTCTGACTTGCTGCATGCGTCTCTAATCCTAAAACATTTGCCCACCGCTATTTTAAGAGATCACCGCGTGGAAGAGCGTATAAAACGTAAAACCAGATTAAAGTATATGGACGAAAATACCAAAACGAATTATTTAAAAAACTATGGTGTTCTCGAAGTATGTACATCAAGATGGCGCACAACCTGAACATAGCATGTGTACCAGGTTAGGGTGATCAGGTTGTGCGCCATCTTGGTGCACATACTTTTGAAGCGCCAAAATTATATGTAATGTTGGATTCATAGAACTTTTTACTTATCGATTTTAATCGGTGAGTATGTTGATAGGTATTTGTCTGTCTGTTTGTATGTCTGTCTGTCTGTTAGATGCACGCGATATGTCACAAAAGTGAGATTGAATCTGCGCCTATTATTTTGGATGAATTATGTCGTATAATTAGGTTTATCGCGTCTCCCTTCACACTGGAATGTAATTTTTTATTTTTCTTAATTTTGTTCGTCAATGTTTACATTCGGTTTGTGATAAAATAAACTACTGACTGACTGATCAGCGAGTTATTAATTAATTAGTGATGGGATACAAGGTGTCACTATGGAATAAAAGCGCTGTTTTGGGGATCCCCTAACTTCCGATCGATAAGTCTTCGGTCTCTAACCGATATTCTCGTTTGTGTATGCCATAATTGAAATTCCTTTTGGAGGCCCACAAGGAAATGTTCGAAGGCTCACGATTGTGCCGCGGCAGTTTGCGACGTAGGCCGTAATTACGGGCAAAGTCGTTTTGTCACCTTTCCTCTCCACTGGGATAAAGATGAAAATACTAAGTACCGAGCATAAAATTCGATTTTCAAGCGAAAGTACAGTTTCCTTGACAACGTACCTTCCTCTCCCATCCGATAGACATTATCAGGAGTGATGTATCTTGGGTCCATGTATCCATTTTCTTCCTCCATAGTTATTAGAGAAATAAGTGCTTTTTTGTACTTGTAAAGAAAAGATAGGTTTATTTCAAACTCCACGATGGCACGATAAAAATGAGAGCGAAACTCAAATACTGGTGATCGGACCAAGTGTAGACAAATGTTTATTAAAACAACTACAATATAAATGTAAGAGAAAAAAATATTTTGCAGAAAATAGCATTATAAGATTAAATAATAGAATTCATTGTTATTTTAAGATACTTTGCCTTCAACACACGCCTCGATCTGATTGGAACTTGACTGCACGAGGCACGTATGGCTTCTTCTAAAATTTTGTCCCAATAATTCATCAATCTATAGTCGATGCTTTAGAGCAGTTGTTCTCAACCTGAGGTACGCTCACCACTAGTTATACACTGGAACTTTTCTGGAAGTGGTATGAAAGCAGCTTTGAAATTATTGCAACAATTAACTTTTGTATTCGCTAAACGGCGTTTACAACACAACCAGTTCTTGTATTTTATCGCTCTCGCCCGTAACTTTCCTTTAATTTGTCTACACTTGGTCTGATCCACCCTGCATATGAACACATCTACTGGATGGGACGCCGGGACAGCTTGTCAAAACTGTCCTGGCTAAACCGGAACATATGATGAGCATACATATATATATATTCCTAGCCTACTGTCTAAATGACAGCTCAAAAGCTTGTACGAAGGAAGTCATTCAAATGACGATCGGGATTTCAATTGAAATAAGTCGAGCAAGATCAATTCTAACAAGTATTTTTATTTTTAATTAGCTTCATGCCCCCTCTATTAAAAATTGTCTACGCCTTCTTGTGGGGGGGGGGGTCTCCCCCACGTTTAAGAACCACTGGTTTAAAGCCTTCGTCCTACGCAATGAAATTTTTTTTTAATAATCGCGTCAGAAACAAAACAAAAATGATTTCAGGGAGAAAGCATGGACACTAGATCACCTTGTTATTCAAATGTAAATGACTGTGCGTTGAATAATTAATGTTAATGGAATTCCTTTGTTCGAGGAGAGCACGTGCAACGGTAATCTGTGTAATATAGACGAGCATTTTATACAGAGAAACGATATTAATTCTTACAGCGTGGAGTAACGGCATTCCTGTTCAGCTATCCCGTTTACCTTGCGAAACACCCAAGTCTAACATCAAGTCCATGCTTCTGAAAACAGATAATTACCTAACTAATCCCACACGCGACATGGACTGGTAACCGGACGAGAGGCCGTGACTCGCCATTTGATTGAGACGTGTTTGATCTGTGTAACATAGACGTCCATTTTATACAGAGAAACGATGATAATTTTCACAGCATAAAGCAGTTGCATTCCTGTTCAGATATGCCGTTTTACTTGCGAAACACCCAAATCTAACATCAAGTCCATGCACTCGAAAAACAAAATACCTGACCAATTAATCCCACACGCGACATGGAGAGGTAACCCGACTAATGCCGTGGTCCGCCTTAAGCAAGCAGTCAGACAAACTTTGGTTTGATTCCGAGGATTAGTAATATTCGAATCATTGAAAACGTGCAATTTCTTTTTAGCATTTTAATGGCGGTATAGCTAATGTTAGATCTTTTAAATGATCTATTAAATATGACTACGCTCCACTTCGCACAACTGTCTATATATGGGACCATATTATACGTATTTAATCTAACGTTTTTTTTACATTTGTCAAAAGGGGTGCATGGCTCACATTTGTGTTTTAGGCCAGTAGGTCATGCATCGCGTCTCCAATAATATTACTTGTCATTTTATTTATATTGCTCGCTATTACGAGACGAATAAACATACATACATTATAACATTATAGTGGTTCTTTCGTACTGAACTAGCGTAGTGACCCGCGAATCTGTTATATATTGTCTGCCTAAATAAAAGTAATAGCCTTCTAATCGCGCTTATATAAAAAAACATTCCTCTATTATCATTAAATGAATAAAAAAATCGTTACGAGTTACGACGGTGTAACCAGACTTAAAGTCTATCGGGCGGGACAGCTTGTCAAAATAAGGACTGTCCCGGTTAAATCGGGACGTATGGTAAGCCACGTTCGGACTAATCTACCACCTAACACTAATTTACACCTGCCAACATCGACATAACTCTGTCTTCTGCGTTTATCAGGTTTGGCTGGACGACGCTATCCGATTCCAACACATACACGACTCACTCCTAGACGAGTACTGTATCTCAATTGTAACATCACTCAAAATATGACGTAATTGAAAATATAGGAAATGTGTAATATTTCGGCGTTTATGTGTTCATATTTAGTTCTGAAATATCGTGTGTCAGACAAAAATAAGAAATTTATAATGAACATATATATACAGGGTGTCCATAAACTCCCTTTACAGTTTTAATTTTGTTATGAAGCCAGTTCTCAGTATATTTTAACCGTTTTTTAAATAAGTAATAGTTCAAGTATTTTTTCTTCATTTAATACATTTGTAAGGGCCAAAGCAATATCTATATGGTATTGATAAATTCTTTTTCAATTTTAAAAATTTTGAGACTTTATGAACATCCTATATATCTATGTGACGAGCAAGAGGATAGCCAGCCCAACATTTTGAAATGGCCAATTTTTTTTGTGTATAGTGACGTAATATGACGGTTACCCGTGCCTTTTGCTTCGAACAAGGCTAGATAAAGGTGAACACTGATATACATACTTGGAAGAATGAATATACAGACGTCCTTCGCAGTCGAAGTTATACAAGGCATTTGAGCGCGCACTTTCATCCATATCGAAGGGCCATAGCCTCTCAGTCCCCGGCTGCGCATGTGGTGAAGACGGTTCCATTACATTTGAACCCTTCACAATTGCACCTGTATGCCATTGCACCTATGGAATTTTTTTTGGTTCACGGATAGTTAAACCCATACTAACCCTAACCCATGGGTTTTAGCACCCGCATATAGATTGAACCCGTGGATATACGCATGGGTTCAAAGGTACGGTCACCGGTGAAGACTTGAGCAAAATTACTTTGAATAAGTATATTTGTTCGCTCTGTACTCCGCACATCTGTAGGAATCATTTTAAGGAATGTGTTTTCACAGTGCCATTTATATGTTAAGTTTCTATATTTTGTAATATGAAAAATATAAACTATTTTATACGGTCATGCTTATGTGACTCAGGCAAGGCTGGATAAACCATTAAGCAAAATAAGCACGTGTTTAGGGCACCAAGAAAAACAGGGCACCGCATAAATTTCCTAATACAAATTTCCAATGGTACATCAGTGTCAAATAAAATATTTCGATTTGGTCATACGTTATTCTAGACCTCAATAATGGCCCGGTTGGTATAATTTTTCTTCCTTTTTTTTCTATTACGAAAGTAATAAATACTGAATGAATGAATACTTACCGTATTGGAATACCATGGAACACTAGTTTTACTATTAATATTATGTATATATATAGGATAACCATACGTCCCGCTTTTCAGCGTTTTGTCCCGCCGTCCCGATAAGTCAGCCAAAAGTCCCGCTTTTCCAGCATAATACACAAACATGTTCTCGTTACTGTTGTTTCTGTGTAGCGCAGCGCTAGCCTGCTTACTGAAGGTGAAGGCGTTTGTTTCCTATATATATACAGAGTGGCCCAAAAGTAGGTATACAGTTATTAAACTATTTTATATGCTTTGAAGCTACTTGCAGTTCACTTTATGTTACTTGTTAAATACCACAAAAATTGCTTATTTTTTTAGATAATAAATCTAGTGTGAATGTTACATTAGTTTTCTATCTGCTTGGAAGGTGATAAAAAAATAAAATACCTGTATACCTACTTTTGGGCCACCCTGAATTCAAAGTCTCATGTGCTTAGGGCATCTAAAAGGCATGATCCGACCGTGGACTCCGACATGTTTTACCACAATGCTCGCGGCCCCAAATTTCGTTTAGAGAGTTTCTAATCGCATTTTTTCCCCACTATATTACCACAAGCCCGATTGTGGAGCATGTATAACAAATGTTCCCGAGCTCGTAGTCCGATTGCATAGTACCTCAGTGTTTTTCGCCAATTTTTTTCTATATCAACTTTTCGAACTGGCGGTTCCAACCCTCCGAAGGGCTTAACGGAGGTCGCGGTAAAATCTTTTTCAACACAAAATTAGGTCTCAAAAAAACTTGGCCAAAGCCTAAGTGGGTCGTGATGGAAACCAGTTAGAAGAACACCGCTCTATATTATCATAATTCTCACAAGCTTAAAGCTCGGTTCATGTTCTTATGTCCTACTTTTGTATGATTTTAAAAATTGACAGTTGTTCCAGAGAGCGTTTTTTTCCACATGTGTTATCCTGGCGATAAATAATAGTGGTCAAGAGAGCCTTCGAAGTTTCTGTATCTAATCGCTAATCCAAATCAGCGTCGTAGTGTAGATAATGTGGAATCAACTACGGGTTTTAATGTTATTTACCCAGTTGTATTAAGTAAATAACAGGTCATTTTAGCAATCTACCCGGCGCTGATTTTCCGTAAAAGTCTTTACGCAAAGATTTTCTGTATCGACCGATCTATGACGTGTCTCCGGCCTCCATTCGAGAATAGAGTATTTATGATGTCTTGCATTATTACTGATTTGAATTTTAACCGTAACTGGTATCGAGGCTTGAGTGTATTTAATATATCTGTTTGAATTCAACTCGATCGTGCGTGCAACTTTACAATATACGAACATTGGCATTATAATACATTGTGTGCTTATTACTTATCGATTTTAATCGGTAAGTATGTTGATAGGTATTTGTCTGCCTGTATGTCTGTTAGATGCACGCGATATCTCACGAAAGCGAGATTGAATCTTCATCATGTGATTTTGCATGTTTCATCTTATCTCGGACCAGAAGCCTATTGATTTTGGGCGAATTATGTCTTATAATTAGCGAGTAATCAATTAATTAGTGATGGGACACAAGGTGTCACTATGGAGTAGGAGCGCCGTTTTGGGGATCCCCTAACTTTCGATCGATATGTCTTCGGTCTCTGACCGATATTCTCGTTTACCTCTCGAGGAGTTTAGATTGTGGTTTACTCTGCTAACGTGTGTAAAATAACAATAAGTTGCAAGGACACGCAGATAGAGACACCCAGCGACCATTTGAGGTCCTATGTTACCAAAATTAGAGTTAGTCACAAATAACGTCATGTTTTTCATGATGTCCCTCTATTGTGTTGACAAATAAATACATCAAAATACACAACCAAACAACATAATTGTAAAATGAAGATAATACACAGGTATTTATGGAACTTATTGAACATTATTCTAAATAATAAACTATCATTGCTTTTTTTTCAAAATAATTAAAAATTTGTACTAAAAAATGCTATGTATGACATATGTGCAAGAAAATTGCTGGATTCCTCGCCGCCTTAGGGTAGATCACGTAATCGCTGGTCGGTTACGGCCTCATACATCATCAGGAAACAAGTAACTGGCTAACTAATCTCATACCCGAAGTGGAAGGTAACCGGACCAGAACCTGCGTATGGTTGTGCCTAATAATTTCAGTAATATAAGATACTTTGCACAAAAATCATGTTTTCTTTAGAATTTGTTCCGATTTTTTTTTTGGCGGCGGGGGGCACATTGTAGATAATATTTTTCATAGAAAATTCGGTGACAAAAAGGCAGCTGACTGTATTAGCATGATATGTTACTGCAAATCAAAAATGAAAATTTTGAAGAATAATCTTGGCAGCATAAACAATGAAAAAAATATAATTCTGTACAAAAATGAATGCATGTTCTTAAGCTTGTTCAGTGAATTCAACAAGTTTGCTCAAACGAATGACAAGAATGCACAAAAGAAAAATTGTTGAAACAGGGGGGGGGGGAATTACGGCCCCCAAAGTGTTTCAGCCAGCCCACTTGTGTCTGCTAAATTACGACTATAGTTTTTATGAATATAAATTTGTTGAAAATATCAATGAAAATAACGTTGACATCATAATGACCCCTATTGTTACATTGTGTTCTTATTATTATATAAACGTCAGCCTAGCTGTTGTAAATAAACTATATTTTAATTCATAGTTTTTCATATTAAGTTTTAAGCCTTTGGCCCAGTAACAAAGTCTATTATCTGTAACTGGCCTACTCAGAAAAGTAATTGCCCAGCCCTGTTCAAAAAGCTATGAATGTTTATATGGGTTAGCTCAAAGCGAGAACCCGAGTCTCCAACTGAGAGCAGAAAAAGGAAGAGAACAGAAAAAGATAGAGTTTCAAGAGACTACATGCCATTTATTACGTTTAACCTTCGTGGAGATAGACGCCAGCAACCAGACCTCGAGGTGAGGTTACTAATAGAACAGTTTTACCCAACATATGGGTCGCGACCCAAAACTGGGTCGCCTGAAAGTCTCCGTGGGTTACTTATTCTTTCCACAAAAAGTTGCTGATTTTATTGGTATTTTACACTTGGTGTTGAAGTGTTACTCAAAAGTGATTTTGTATGAGGTAAATTGTGTACGCAAAAGCTTGGCAGCATCTATTTTGCTCAAGTAAAGCCTCGCCACGATTTCAGAAACTCACTCATGGCAAGAAAACGCAGTTTTTACACTTTGCGGTAGTTGCTGGGAAATAAACATCGAATAAAAATTATTATTTCATATTAGTCATTCAATTTCGTGACCCCAAAAGCATTAAATGCTGCTTAGTATACAAGCTTATCTTGGGGTCGCAAGTACCGGTATTACAAAATTTTTTTTTTATAATTTGGGTCGCTTGAAATAAAGATTGGAAACCACTGTAATAGAAACGTTGGGAGCAACCACCGACTTGCTAAAAACTATATACAGTATCTTACAAATGTTTAAAGCAAATTCGTTTCTCATCGAAAGAGGGAATAGTACTAATAGAAGAGTTGGAAGCACCACAGAAAAATATGATAAATTTATCATCGCAACCGATAACACATTTATCTTTGCAGCAGATAGGGAAGAATTATAGCAGATAATACAGTATGAAGTAGATAAAACAGTAGGACAGTAGGTAGTAGTAGATCTCACATTTATCTTTGCAGCAGATAGAGCAGAATTATAGGAGATAAGACAGTGTGGTAGTAGATAAAACATTAGGACTCTAGGTAGTAGTAATTAAGGCAATACAATATAGCTGTGGATAGCAGTAGATTAGAGAATATGAAAGCAATTAACAGAAGATAAGACAGTGAGGAAGAAGATAATACCATATGGGGACAGATAGAAGTAGATATGATAGTGGATAGCAGTCGATAGGAGAATATGAAAGCAGATAAGAGCCATAGATAGAAGTAGGCATGATGGATGGCAGTGGATAGCGGTTGAACGAACCAATTCAAGTCAACACTGTCAAGGAAAAATGGAAGTTCAAATGAGGTGGCCGAAAAATTTATCAAGGATCGAGTCCTAGTTTCCACTTATCCAGATAATAATTCATTTCTTCCCGCATTTCCTTCCTTCCTACGTTAACTGTCGGGATGATTTTGGTCGGTCGAAGAAATTTCACGAATCTGTGAAGGTCTTCAAAACTGCTGTGTTCACTGGTAAATAGAAATTACAAAAATTATTGAAAAAAGGGAACAATGATGTATCTAAAAATATTAAACACGATTGTCAAAATGGGCGCTCTGCTCCCATGGAGCGCTACTATATGGGAGTTATGATGTCTTCTCTAGACATCATTTGCAAGAAAAAATTAAATAATTTGAAATTAAATACCTGGAATTAAATTTTTCGAATATAACATTGTAATGCATTTATTCGTTTCGGTTTCATTCAATTTTTTTGTTGTTAGCGAATAAAACGAGAATATCGGTCAGAGACCGAAGACTTATCGATAGAAGGTTAGGGGGATCCCCCAAAACAACGCTGTTACTCCATAGTGACACCTTGTGTCCTATCACTAATTAATTAATAACTCGCCAATTATGCGACATAATTCATCCAAAATCAATAGGCTTCTGGTCCGACATATGATGAATGCACATGCAAAATCTGGAGCAGATTCAATCTCGCTTTCGTGAAATATCGCGTGTGTCTAACAGACAGACAGACAAATACCTATCAACATGTTTACCGATTAAAATCGATAAGTAATAATTGATGGAAGAGTGTTAAAAATAAAATTGGGTATTTTATAGAAGACCATGGTGTTGTGTTAACTGTATATTTATACTAATTCTAGCAATTAGCATTTTCCCAGATGGCCGAGCATGACCTGTGATGTCACCAGTTACAGATGACTGATCATGACCAACCAACTGTGGAATAATGCGTTATTGAAACTATGACTAATACGACCAACAGCCAACTGCTAGAAGAAACTTGCTGAAAATCATATGTATCTATATTCCTCTATCACATATCAAGCAATCTCACCTATAAGGCAATCCATAAATCTTGACAGGACCGGACACAACAGGTTTTATCCGGTTCAAACCGGGATGTTTGTTATCATGAGTCCAACCTGTAGGTTTGAAAGCCACAAGTTGCTCATATTGTCTGAACTGACAGAGACGTGATTTGAGGTCCTGAAGGACAAATGGATAGTGAAGAACTGGAAATTTCAAGTTTTTGTGGTATGAAAAACAAAAAGAGCAATTACAGCGGAAATAACTGAATATTTGTTAGGAAATTTTAAAAACTCTCAAGCTGTTTCCATAGCACTGTGGAGGTCGGAACCTCTTTTGAAACGTAAAAAAATGCATTTTTCTGCATCATACATAACTATTTGATAGCTTGATAGTTTCCATTGCTTGAAATGCTTATTGACCTTCATTACTTTTGAAAAGTTTTTCTCACTTTTCCCGACCTCCAACGGGCCCGGTCTAACTCTCAAGCTGATTCTCTAGCAGTGTAGAGTCGGAAATCCCCCTCCCTTTTTGAAATGTTAGAAAAAAGCATTTTTCTGTATTAAACATGGCAATGCTTCTTAGACCCCCCAAGACTCTTCGACCTCCAGCCGTACCAGGTCTAACTCGGCAATTAGAAAATTCGGGGCTCCCGAAGTATGCGAACCAAGATGGCGGACATCGGAACGTAACATGGGTAACAGGTTAGGCGATAATTTTTTTCCAATTTTCCTTATTTTAGTCCTATTATCAGTTCGAAGACTAGCCAAGAGCCTCCCGTTGTATTTATACCTAAAATTATGACCTAACCCTAACCTAGTACACATATTACATTCAGATGTCCGCCATCTTGGTTCGCATACTTCGGGAGCCCCGAAAATTCAGAACCTCCCCCTTTGAAAATTACCGCTACACCCCAGATAAGTATAAATCACTATTTGAATCAAAATTTAATGTTAATTATTTGCTCAATCGTCATTCTTTAATTGAACCCCCTATCGCCAAAAAACTCAATCAGACCTCGCACAGCATTTTTTTTCAACAAGAAATTTATCACATTCACTTATGGATCCTGAAAAGCAAAAATAATTGCGATATTGTGTCAAAACAGCTGTTAAACAAAGAACACATATTACGCCACACTGCAAAAGTGTTGATTACCGATGGTTAATCGTGTTGCGCAATCTGTGACGTCAGTCTCGTTTCATTTTAGCCGCACCCCGTATATAAAGAAATGCACAATGCTACTGATAATCCACTACACTCCAGGGTTCAATGATAATAATCAGGATCAAATCTATAAAGGTAACCCCTGTTCGCAACTCCACATTACCTTCACAGAAAGCTGCCTCATTGGTATCACATGAACGTTAGCTTCGGTTGCATCTCGTGTCACCAACTTTGATAAAGTATCATCTTGCAGACATTGGATTGTGCGGAATTTATCCTGTGCAACGAAAGCTTGACTTCCGATGGCATTTGCGACAGCTGAAAAAATGGAAATTCTATGTTATACTGTTGGAATAGGGATAAGGATAGATAATGGTTGCATTCGGCATTTCAATGGCCTAATTCAGTGGTTCTTAAACCAGGGGGCGCGCCCCGCATATTGAAGAACATTTTTTGAGAGGGCGTGAAGTTAATTACAAAATAAAATGATTTGATAGATTTAGGATATTTACTTTTTTTTGTTTTGAAAAACAAACAACAATTTTTTTAATAAAACGAACTTTTGCCTTACTATCTGTTATTTGTAGCTTATTGTTAGCAAGTTATTATTAGGTGGGGTGCGAGAATTGACAAATTTTAGGTAAGAGTACTTTTGGGTTGCCATATAGATAAAGTTTTTGGGGCAACTAAGCTCGACAATACTATCACTATTATAAAGTTACCGTCCCTTCTTATTAAAAATTACCACAGGCAATTAAAGTTTTGACTCTGGTATCAATAAAAACACGCGGAACTCAGAACCCACGACCCCTCTTAAAATATACTGTAAAGATGTTATACACTGCTGTACATTGTGTGTATAACGGTACAAGCATACAATAAAAGCTAGTGGAAGAATCAAATCTTTAAGCCAGGGGTCGGCAACCTTTTGTCGCTCGCGGGACAAAATTAAAGGTTGCAAGTAATTGGTGGGCTGCACATATTTTTAGAAAGTTTAAAACCGAACGGATCAGAGTTTAAATTTTAAGCAGCGTGCGAAGACTGACAATTTGAATATTTTTTGCGCCATTAAACCATTTGCACTTAGCATCAACTTTTCTGCGTTTTGTTGCCATTTCTCTAATTATAATTAAATTATAGGCTCATTAAACGAGTAATTGTGAATTATGTACTTGTTACGTTATAATATCGGGCCCGCGGGCCGTAGGTTGCCGACCCCTGCTTTAAATGAATCACTGTTAGGAAATCAGCAAAGGCAATTCTCACCAGCAAATATCCTTTCTTTCCCAATCAAATAAGTGCCAACAACAAACAAAGTTTTGGGACATTCCTTTATCTCTGTTGTTGCAATAGAAACAGCTGTTTTGATGACATCACGTTGCAATGGAAACCGATATTCTGGGTTCAAATATGTTGTGTCAAGATATAAGGTATCAACTCTGATTCCTGAAAAATGATGATTTAAAAAATCATACAAAGGCTGGAACCATGAAGACAAGGCAGAAAGAATCAAGTATAAGAAAGAATTTATCAGGAATTGTATAGCTTTAACGAACCACGATTTAACAAAACAACTCATACAGACACCCTCAATTACTTTTTCATCATATATAATCTTACCATAATCTTACCATATTTACGAGGCAAACAAAACAGGACGATGTTGACTGGACAAGCCAACTTCGGTTTGATTTCAGTAATAGTTTAAACCAGGGGTTCCCAAGCTTTTTTCAGGACGACCCTAAAGACAACTTTCAAGTGTCCAGTGCGACCCCAGGTCAATATATATATTTTTTATGAAACTTTAGAGCTACTTTCACTGGACTGACTTTTGAGTTTGGTCATGTGGTGGTATTAAGTCCTAAGCTAAAACCCAACAGTGATGTCACAATAAGCACCTACATTTTCTATAGCATAAGCATAGAGCGATGTCTATGGGCCTGTTTTACAGTAAGCCATGATACAAACTGATAAATTTAAAATGGTTTGTCAAATCTTAGATGTTTTGTACATCCATCCTCTACCATACCTCAGCGACCCCACCGACCCCATGACCTGTTTGCGACCCTACCTGCTTATCACTCCGACCCAATTTGGGGTCCCGACCCCTGGTTTGGGAACCCTTGTTCTAGACCCAAAAGTGTCTTGAAAACCCACGTTTCCGGCCGGACTAGCTAGCTATCACGGTCTAACTTGGCCACAGGGAAATTTCAGAAATCTCCCCCTCCCATGAAGATTTCTGGCTACGCCCCTGGTGGAGCCATTGGATTTGAACCCATAGAGACCATGATCTATTGTGCCAACACGGTTAAGTCTGTCTAAGGTTAAGAATATTATACAAATTAGTATTATCGTTGTGTTATTATCATACCTTGTAAAGCATTATATTTCTCCATTTCCTCCTGGGCTCTGAAATCTCCTGTGTGAAGAAGGACCCGATTGTTTCGAAGTTTGAAGAGAAATAAAACAGCTCCTGGAAGAAAATATGAAAGTATAAGTTGAGATTGAACAGGGCTACTCAACTGGCAGACCACAGTCCGAATCTCTTCAATTATTCAATTCGAACCACGTCTGCTTCTAGTATTGTAAGCATCATTTTTTCTAGTTAATACGAAAGAGAGACATTGTGCATTGCTTTTGTATTTTGTTAAACGATGCATTTGAAATTTCGTTTGTATAATAGAATATATTTTCTGGAATGAGAGAACACAATATATAATCAAGTTTTGTATACGAATCTTTTGTGAAAATATTTAAGTAGCCCCAAGATATGAATATTTGCACTATCGAAGTGGATCAGAATTACAAACATTATTATCATATAACAATGGCACGCTACTAGTGTGCCGCACAATCAAAAATAACGATTCTACAATTAGTAAGGCTCTTCAAGGAGCGCCCAAAACGTTCATTTACAAAACAAGATTGTCCTCAGGTCCTGACAGTATTCTACCAAGAATACAAGCCTGGACACCCAAGTTGTCTTCCCATTACCACAAGATAATACTGTGAGCGCAAGGATGTATATCATCATAGGACAATCTCTGTTTGAAAAGAATCAGTTCGGTAAAACTACTATTAACAAAGCTTTAGTGCAGTGGTTCACAAACATTTTGAGCTCTTTTTAGAATTTGTCAAGTCTCGTGCCCAACAGGAGTTCATGTGATGCCAATGAGGCAGCTTACAGTGAAGGTAATGACCTTTGAAGATTCGACTCTGATTATCACCGTTGAACCTTAAGGCATGGCCAAGAAATTTCAAAGTGTGAGGTTTTGAAATTTCTATTTGCCAAGTCAGACCGAAATAGCTAGCTAGATTTGGAATCTACCAAGCAAAATAGTGCTAAAAGCCTCCAGAAAAGAGCCTTGATCCTTAAAAAAGTTGGTAACCACAGGGCCATAACCAAATGTGCCAGATGTCGAACCCTGAAGGAAAATCAAGAGCACTCCCGTAGTATGTGCACCAAGATGGCGGACACCTGAACATAGTATGTATAATATAGTACATAGTATAGTATTCTATTACGAATTCGGGGACTAGCCAAGTGACTCCTGTAGTATTTGTATCTGGAATTATTGCCTAACCCTAAGCTGGTACACATACTACGTTCCGGTGTCTGCCATACTACGGGAGTACCAAATAAAGTCTTTCAATAAACATACCAGGACAATGGTTTGCCTCCAACAACGTCACTTTAACCTGGCCAACTTCAATCTCTTCCCCCATTGGCAACCTGACTATAAGTTCTTCAGACAATCTGATTTTCTGAGCCACAAGATTGCCTGTGACCTGAAAATGTTAAACAATATTTATGAATCTGAACACTAATCAGTGCGTGGCAGCCACTTATTCGTAAGAGAACTATTTAAAATTACGGTAACTGTGTCGGGGTTTTTGACTACAAGTTTCAAAATGATCGGCACATTTTTCGCTGATGCCATGAAAACAAACGAAACTATTAACCGGAGTTTCGGTGAAATGCACATTACAGGGTGACAGGTGACAGCATAACCCATGTGAGAAATTTCAACCCGATCGGCCAATCAGTCCAAACGCTACAGCTAAACACATAGACAGGACGATTTAGAATTGGGGTCTCATAGAGAAAAGATCGCATAAACTTTACCTGGCTGCAAAACACTTTATGCCTCCAATACTTTTTTGTTAATCCCATGTAGTGGTCTGAGTGGAAATGTGACAAAAAATAAAACTGGACTCCTTCCACCACTCCATAACTAAAGGCATCTACAGCAATGTCGGTACCAGAAACAATCTTGTAAAACGGACACTTCCGTGTTTTGTTACCTGTCAAAAATAGAAGACTTTCTAATATATGTCGTTTGGAATTCTTAACTGTAAGAATAAGTCAAGCATTAGGTGGCACTGTTTTTATAACACATATTTTTGTAACACATAGCTTAAACCAATTTATTACACAGGATATAAAGCTGTAAATTTGTTATGATAGGATAGGATTTGCATATTTATCCCGACGAGAAGACAGATTAATCAAATAACGAACCACGCTCTCTCATCTGGTTATTAGTCCATGTCAGGTAGGGGATTAGTTAGCCAGTTATTATTTAATTCATATGCATGAACTTGATAGTGGAGGAAGACCTAAACGACCAGCGATTATGTGAACTACTCTACAGTGGTGAGGAGTCCAGCAAATGTCTTATAATCGATATATCCCCCACACGATTCGAACATGCCGAACCCACGCAGGGTAATCAGAGGTATGATGACTAGGGCTGGGCATTTTCGAATACCCTGTGATTTCAGAATCAAATCGAATATTTTTTTCGAATCGAATCTTGAATACTTGGAAATTCTATAATTGTAAGCGACATTTTTGTTGTAATTGGTTCTCGCAAGAAATGAATCATTGAAGACATAGAATAAATCACTCAGATAGATTACTGAGCGTTCACATCCAATAACAAACACGTTTTATCAATAACTCACTACAGAAAATTATCATGTTAGAATTGCATTGAAAAAATATGATTAAAATAAAAAAAAAATTGGTGGAATTCACCCGAAACATTGACGGTAAAACAAGATGGCGGCGATTCAAAATTTTGCTCTGAACCGATTCGAATAATTTACTATTCAATTCGAATATTCGAAATGCCCAGCGCTAATGATGACATGCAAATTCCTGAAGCTTAGCACAATGCGCCAAACCTTTCATAGTTAAAAAAAATCTTATCAAAACTTCCGTTCATAAAACGAGATTGTCCTCAGGTCCTGACAGTATTCTACCAAGAATCCTTGCCTGGACACCCAAGTTGTCTTCCCATTACCCCAAGGTAATACTGTGAGCGCAAGGATGTATATCATCATAGGACAATCTCAGCTTGAAAAAAGTGTCCCTAAAATGTTTGAGTTTGAAGCGTTTCCAAATCGGAAAGGAATTCTCTCTAAATCCCACGCCCACCACCCAACCAGGGTGTAAAAATTTGTAGGCACTGTCAAACCTTAAAAATTTCAATCCTCCCAAAAAATACTGGCTCTTGTGTGTCAGTGGCTATTTGTGCAGAATCCCCATGCATTTCATAGTGTGGGGTTGAGGAAGCATTCTAAAATTCACCCAAAAACCAACAGATTACACCAGTAGTCATAAAAGCCTAAGAAAAAAACCTAAACTAATGTATTAATTTCCAAACTTACTTCTATAGAATCCATTTCCACCAGTTTTCGTTCCATTTTTCCAAGAGCCGTTAGGATTTTCCTTTTTTACAATTTCTTGAAGCTTGGGTTTTAAACCAAACATCATTGAACCGATATCTCCCTGTTTTTTGCTCTTTTTTGACGAATTTAACCAATTTTGAAGCGAAAATTTTTTGCTAGAACTTGACAAAGTATCATCCCCTTTTTGTAAAAGTTTTTTAGAAGATTTTAGATTCTCTGAATTTCCAGTATCTTGATTCCCATTCTGATTTTCACCATCAAAAGTTGGAGCTTTATTAATCCCATTTAATTGACCTTTATCGAATCTTCTATCCATTGTTGATAAACCTGATCCACTTTGAGGGCCAATTTTACTCCAACTGGCACGTATGGGTGTAACTTTAACTTTACGTAAACCGTTTACGTTAGACGGAAAATTATTTTTATTTTTTGGCGATGAATTTGAAAAACTACTCAAACCACTTGTAGAGGGTTTATCATCGTCAATATTACTACACGATGTGCCATACTTGTTCAAGTTTGTTACATCCTGGGGTTTTATTTTAGCCTTTTTCAAACTTCCTGGAATAGTATCATTACAATCACTAGTTTTGTTGGAAAATTCAGTATTTGCACTGCTAGAGTGTGACGGTTTACCATCGTCAACTGTATCGTAAGATGTGCCAGGTTTGTCGAAAACATCAAAATTTGTGATATTTTTGGCTGATTTGGAAAATTGTGAAGCTGTTTTGTTAAAATCTTCAGTTTTTTCATTATTATTACTTCCTGATGTATAACGTTTAACCCCACTTCCTGGATCACTGTTCTTCCTGCAACAATGATTATTACTTTTTGAATCAATGTCATTTTTCCCTTTCAGATCGATGTGTTCATCCAAGCGTTTCACTTTCAAGGATACAGGGCTCAAAAATGGTAATGTTTGACAATGTGAGAGTCCTTGTAGCATTGAGGACTCCATTATATCTTCCTCATTTGAACAATTTCCACATTTTGAATTATTTTCTACGTTATTTCCCGCTAAAAATTTGCTAGTTGTTATATCTGGATTGCTATCAAGCTTGGTATCTGAGCCAGAATTGTCTCCCAAAAACGTTGAAGATTTTTTCGGAAAATCGGCAGTTTTTTTGTCACAAATTTCCCCATTTTGAGCATCGGAAGTGGAATTTTCATCTTCAAGGCTTGAATTGATAATAATACATTGATTCTTTACAAATCCTTCATTAGATAAATTTGAAGTAATACCCCCTAGTGGTTGTTCTCTGAATTCGGTCCCATTCTGATTATCCGGATTTGAACTTTCAGCTGTATAACTTTTATTAGAATGCTTGCCTTCCAATACAGCATCATTTTTATTTTTGATTGCAGAATTTTTACTATTACCATAACTACTGTTCGATTCTGCCACAGAATTTCCAGCTTTATCATCCAAGCGTCTCATGTTGAATAAATTTGAATTTTGGTCTAAAATAATACTAGGATTTTTACCTTCAGCAGAGCACTCCTGGGAAGATTTTGCTGAGCTCAGCATATTTTTACTCAAATTAGTAGGACTGATGAAAGGCATAAAATTTCCACTTTTGTCAAACTGGATAGGGCTAACTGGCACAAATCCTGGTCCTCGAGGGAGGGGGATTACCCAGTCCTCACTGTCTTGAGTGTCTAGTGTGGAAGAAAAACCAGTTTGACTTTTTTTAATTGAATTTGGAATTTGGGTAGACTGTATCGGAATATCTTGATCTTCTTCAGGTAGAAAAGAAAATTTTTCGCTGTCAGAATTGGTTTTAATTTTCCCACCGGAATAAATTGAACTGTCAGAGTTTGTCGGATTTTGTTCCGGTCTTTTATTTGAGACTCTTTCTATTTTAATTACCGGGTATTTTCTACACATTTTACTCATGAACGTTTCTTTTGAATTATTCTGGCTTTGGGAAAGAGTTTTTTTACCAATCCTAGTTTGTTGACTTGGGGTTAAAGGTTCTGCTTTTATATTTGATGACCATGTTTTTGATAAAATAGCACCATCTAGTGTCTTATCTTTTTCAAAAGTTGACGTTTGTACAAAAGGAGAAGAACGCAATTTTTTTGGAGTTGCATCGACGGTCAATTGTTCAGAATTTTTTTGAGGACTTCGACGTAAACTTGATATTGTTTCTTGACTCGTTTCTTCACCGCAATCATCTGTTAAGTCGATAATTTCAATTTCTTTCGTTTCACGGCGTTTTTCTACCTGACTTGCAGTTATCGTCCATGGATTTGCACCGAGCGGAGGTTTAACTTTCACGTTCCAATTTTTTCGAGGAGTATGTTTCAATTTTTCTTGTATAATTGCCAAAGAATTGTTAATATTCAAAGAAGATTTTAATTTTTGTGTAGTTTGCGTAGAAGCTGATACTTTTTGACTAGAAAACACTCTTTGTATTTCAGAAGTTATATTTTTTGATTTCTTAGGTTTAGAAATGATAAACGGTTCTGTCTCCTTTGCCTTGTGTTTCCCTAGAATTGACGATTTTTGAGATATAACAGTGTTTGTAGCATTTGAACTCACAAGAGGAGAAACCGTTACGTTTTTAAAAAAACTTGACAAATCTTTTCGACTTTTTTTTGACGAATTTTGAGTGTTTTTAAACTCTTCTGAAGAAGATGGACTGTCTGTTAAATCGATAAATGGTCGAATAAACGGGGAATGATTTTCATTTGCACTTATTTCTAGTTTTACTTCTTTCTTCGGGGTGCGGCCATGTAATGATTCAAAGAGTCTATCAATACTGCTCATAGAAGTGTTAGATGGTGCTAGAGAGCGTTCAGGGTCGTCCCGATATTCTTGAAGATTTTTATGAGAGTATATTTGATAATGAGATTCCATGGTTGAAATGCAGTCTATTCCGTTCGGACAGTCTCCTGTAATAAAAGAAATAGGTCTTAGATGATGAATAGAGAAAAAAGTCAAAATATGAATCCATTCGATAACAAGACAGTGATGCTCAAATATATGGACTTGAAGTCCAAAACAAAATTTTGTGTAGCATCGAGTCAAATCGGGAAATGGGCGTCACGTTTGTCGTGTTGAAAACGGTTCTCACACGAAAATTAAATTATAGCGAAACTTTGGATGAAATATCAAATCTTATACGATTTTAGAAAATTTAGGAATAGATAAATAAAAGTAATAGCCTTCTAACGAAAAATACAATCTTACGTCACTGATACTTTAAAAGCAATTGGTCCATTAGTGAATGAGAAAAGCGATTTTTGACAACAAAATTAAAAGACGATCCATAGGTCTACTTCGTGTCCAATAATTATAATATTCATTCATCATTATGTGCCAGATAGATGTAAAAGGGAGCACGTCAGGCGACTGAAATATTTCCAGCTTCTGACATATCAAATTTTGCTCTTGTCAAACCAGAAAACGAACATACACGCATAGCCTATACAAAATAAGGATATTAAAAATCAGGGGTGGGCAAAATCAAATATCTTTTACGAAAACCGAATATTTTTTTATACACAACAGGGTAACGAAAAGTTGGTAACGATAAGTCTGGTTGGTAACGATACGACAGTTAATGCCATCAGAGTTTGTTACCACACAAAGACATAATAAAACCAACTGTCAGCTTACTTTTTGGTTTCGCATTTCTCTTCTTACATTTTGTGATATGTTTTGAGGGCGTTGCAATCTTCAATGTTTTGAGAGGGAACTGGCACACTGGACAAAAAGTCTGTGATTGCATCGAAGAACCACTACTTGGAATGGTTGACTTCTGTGACCCTGAGTTCACCTCATTGGACACTTGTGAGGAAGTAGACTCCATCAGGAAGTCATCAGGTAATAATAAGTAATATCCATCTACTTGAAAACGTTAACATATAATATTTCATCTATATGATCCTGAAAATAAAGAAACACATTTACACAAATTATACCATGATGAATAGGATTATAAAATTAAAATTTTTGATTCAATAAAAGCAAACAAAATATTTCAAAAATAAACAATAGGTTAGGATGACACAATCAGGCTCAAACAATTCATGCTCAAGTAAAAACACCCCGTAAAATAACCTTGGCGTGCCATGAAACTTGGAAGAACAGGGAGTTTTCGAGTATAAGGAACATCAGTTTTGGGCCTAGTATTGGGGCGCCCTCCAACTGCTTTGTGGTCCCTCTGGGGGAGCCATGAACCCTCGATTGGGAATTCACTAAAAGCAAAACGAAATATTCCAAAAAGAAACAATATTAGCATTTAGTGTAGCATAACACAATTTGTGGAACTTCTGTTGGAATTGAAGGTTTCTAATACATACATAAAAAGCAAAATAGGTGTCACTTTAGTATGCGTTCAATCACCCTGTGGCTCCTCTTTCGTTAATAAAAGTCAATTACTATTAATTACACATCACAGCAGGAATAGGTCAAGAGCAGTAAAAGTAGGTCACATTAACATGATTCAAATCTGTCAAAACAAACTATTTTCCCATTTCCAAGTTCTTCTTATTTCATTATGAACTAAATTATTGTATCATAAGTTGTTTTCCGAAAGTTGACTGACATTAAAGTAGATGTTACGGCTCCAAATAGGTTTAAGTTTGACGGCAAGGATGCCAAATACCGGTAGCTCTTTTAATGCTAAAGTTTGTTGACTTGTGGTTTAATCTCATAAAAGCATTTTAATAGAATTCAGTTCCAAACACAAACTAGAATCACAGATATCACAAAACCGCATACCAAAGTACCACAGTAAAATGGATATAATATTATAACAGTATATCATCGCTTACAAGGAAAGTTTAAAACTCAAAAAAAAGTTGTCAAGCTAAGGGGGTGACGTAATTCTAAGGGGGGTGGCACGTGCAAAACTCCGATCGCACTGAAGGGTTTGACAGTGATAGTGAGGGTTAAAGGATTTTGAGACACTTACCAATATTAATGAAAGTAAAACATAACAATTATCATTCTCATTAATTTCCTTTTCAACCATTTGCTGTGATAGGTGCTTACTGCGTGTTACGATTTGTAGGTTCAGCTTATACACAAATTTTTATAATTACACTGTTTTTAGGGGGGTATATGTGAGGATATATGGTATGGTACATATAATTTTCACCTCATGTACTTGTTAAAACTAGAACAAGTTGATTCAGAAATTGAAATTCAGCAAAATCAATAGGATTCGCGCCCTGAAAATCTGATTCAGTTAAACTAAATGCTGACAATAGTGTTTTACTTCCATTTATTAGAGATTCATTTTGCAGGAGATATTTTTTGTATCCACAATGTATTTCTTCTATAGCTATAATATCTTGACAATTATCTTCGAAATATTTTCCGCGATAATCAACGTCGAATTTAGTCCATTTTAGAAGAGCATGTAATCTCAATTCTTCAGTAAAGTAAGAATTCTTAATTTTTAAAATTTGTGTGACGGAACATTCATCAAGTAAATTAAAGTCATCCAATTCTGCCAGCTCCCTCAAATTTTCTGCAGCAAATTGGTTACAGTCATCTTCAATTTTTCCGTTATTATATAATTTCGACATTCTCATTGTAAAAAGGAATGAATCGAGTGTTAAATTTTTTCCGAGGGTTCCAGCAACGGCTGCACAAAAATAATCCAATTGTAGTCTTGTACCAACGTAGAGCAATTCTTCAAATTTATCACTAGAAAAGGGAGTTTCCTTCATATATGTAAAATCAAGGCATTCTTTTATGACATCTGGGTGGACGTCGTTCAATTCTAAGATGCCAGTTTCTTTAACTTTCGGATCATCGGAGAAAATAGCTTTGAAAAAACGAGATGCCGAACTCAAAACATACCTGTGAGCATGAAATTCTTCAGAACCAACTTTGATTATGAAGTCACAGAACTTCTTTTCTTCTCTCATTTGACAAAATTGGTCAAAAATGTTGGAAAAATGACTCATTTTTGCATCTCTCAAAGTCTTTTCATCCATTGTTCAGTGGTTGCAAGAAAACTAAGTTATGAAAGAACTGTGTAAAAAATTGAATAGACGAAATTTTTGGGTCTGGCAAAGTAAATGATGTAACACCTTTAGACAACTGGACAACCGCAAACTAAAAACCTGATGTGAAATGAGAGACATAACTGTGAGAAAGGGATGGGATGTGAAAATTTTCATGTTTCTTAAGTAAAGTCTGACTGGCGCTAAATGGAATTCTTGACAGACTTTTTTAGTCAAATCAAACCCACTCACTTTTCAACTAAGGACACATCATATAGGGCACCAATTTCGAGTGAGACGAACTTTTATTTTTGCAAAAATTATTTTCAAATTATTCATTATCATTTTTTAGGCAGTCATGGCATTCATTTTCACATCACATTTTTGTTTGCATTATTTAATCTTCGCTAGACCCAAATCTTTCTCTCATAACGAGAAATTCGATATTTTGAATTATTGCTGTATTGATTTGGAATTTCAAATTCATCCCAGGTTACCAGTAATTCGAGTGTGGATGGAGAAACTAATTCATTTATGTGGCCCAGCTAGATTTCTGGGGTCTCGTGTAGTTTCGTACTTAACATACCGGTACTTCTAGCAGGCGTAGCATAACAATTTTTTGATATGTCAATCCTAACCCCCACCTGACTACGCCATCCAAAAATTACGTCACTACGACATCACAATCACGTAATAGAGCTTGCCAAATATACGTACATCCGTCCAAAATTGCATTGGCGCCGACGATAAAGAACTGACTGACATTATCGATCTTTCTCCTAATGGAATCGTTGCGACGAGAAAATGAGAGAAATAACTGCTCGATTTCGGGTGCTCGTTTGCGCGTCTTGGATAGCAGTTCGTATAGTTTGAAGGGCTCTATTACGTCACTGTGACGTCGTGTTGACGTAATTTTTGGATGGTGTAGTCAGGTGGGGGTTAGGATTGATACGTGAAAAAATTGTCATGCTACGCCCACTATTAGTATGTTAGGTACGAAATTACATTGGACCCGATTTCTGAAGTTGGTTATAAACTTATCTGTATATGGCCCACTCGTGAAAATTATTGCACACCCAGACACACACACCCCTCCCCCGCCTACTTTCCTGATTTTCCGTATATTTGTTTATTATGCCCTGTATTTCTTCTCTTCTTTGTTGTAACAGAAAATCGAAATAAACTTACTTACTCCACTGTCACAGAATAAGCTAAATATGCTCGCCCGCCGCGCCAGTACGGTAGTTTGGTGCCATACGGTAGTAAATAGACGCCGACATACACATGACCCCCAAATCAAACAACTAATCGCTAAAACGCCAATTTCTGAATTTCTTCCCGCCTTGTTGCTATCTAGGTTAAATTCCCGCGGAAATAAAGGGATTTTCCAACACGCCAACGCCAAATTGACGAAAAAAACTGCATCGGATGCCCATGTTACCAGAACTTCGACCTTCTTGATGACCCCTCTAACTTTGGCTAAACGGCAAGATAGCATATAGGCCTACCGTACTGACAACGTAATAATAACTGAAATTGCAGCAACCAACGCTGGTGCAAATATTGAAAAAATAAAATAAACACGCGAACGTGCTGGACTCTCGGACCGTTGCACTTTTAAAACACTTGAGCCATTTAATTCGATACAAAAAAATAACATGTGGAATACAAGTGACAAAAATATTCAAGAGAAAAAACAACTACACCGTTTGGGTGTTGTTGCAAAAGTGATGAAGTTACTCAATGTACCGTATGCAAAAAATTGTTGGTATAAATCACACTTGAAGCTCTCAATTAATGCAGTAATAACAGTATCTGCGCATTGCCGATCTTCAATCCTCAACTTGCGGACCTGTACACTTTGTGCGGAAAGAAGGGTCACCTTTGAAATAATTGCTTTTGTCAACGCTATAATAGGATTTACATATTTATCCCGGGTGAGAGGAAAGCCGATAGGACGGCTTAATCATATGGCCAGTCATTTGTTTTCGAAAGCAGGAGACTAGGAGTACAGCAATCCCCTCGCACATAACTACAGTATACCCGCATGTGATTCGATCCTGCCAACCCACGCAGGGTAAACAGGGGTGCGGTGACGAGAGTATTCTTAACTCTTAGCACGATGTGCCACACCACCGAGCCTAATATAAGTAGATATAAAACCTCTACGATACACCAACTTCAGAACTTACTAAATCTACGCCACTAATATATAAATATACGCAACATGATTAAGCAGTCTTTTCCGTCTAATAAATATGTATATCCTGCCCTAATTATACGGCACTGTACACAACTCTTAGACTTGAAGCAAACAACTCGACGCCTACGCGAATTATTCCCCCAACTTCGATACTATTTTCTCGTTCAAAAACAATCTAGGACAAGTTCCCGCGAAAATGAGGGTATTTTCCAACGCGCCAAATTAACAAACTGTTTCGTGTTTGATTCATGATAAGGTTCGTATACTCTTTGATAATGAAGATAATTTTGAACACCACCATGTTACAAAATAATGACAGACACCGACATAAGACAAAGTAAACACGCAGGGCGGGAAAATGAGCGGTCACGTGAACCACACCACGACGGCAGGGTGTCATATCGTACGTAATTATACCACACCCCACGTCGCTACACGATTTGTACCCATTCGCGTAATTGTTCATTCCCCCTATCGCCCAAAACAGGGTAATTGCCAATTTTGAAATATGTGCAGCAACGAAATTTTTAATTTAGTTCTGTACGTGCGAGTACTTCCTATCGCTTTGCGTTGCAAAGCCTATATCGGACTCCAATTTATTATCTATGACTATGACGTTCCAAAGCAGAATAGCAAAGCTTCTGCGGTGAGAACAACATACGTCTTAACTTAAGACCAATAAAAAGTTTTGTACCTGGAAATAATAGAGAGCATATGTTAAAAAAATGTGCAGTCCATGCTTCCACACAATTCTTTCTACCTGGCCCTTTCTTCAATAAAGGTTGCATCTGTTCGATTAACCTCGGAGTTTTTTTCGGTGACCGTACATTTAAACCTATGTGTATATCCGCGGGTTCAATCTATATGCGAGTGCTAAAATCGATGGGTCAGTCAGGGTTAGTATGGGTTCAAATATCCTGAAACAAAAAAAAATTCCATAGATGCAATAGTATGCAGGTGCAATTGTCGTGGGTTCAAATGTAATGGAACCGTTTTTTTGGGGGTTCGAAGCAGCTTTGTTTTGCCATGTAGTACTTTTCAAAGGAATTTACCTTACCTCATTTTGACACATCAGGCAGTTCATGCACATAAACAAAGAGTTTTTGAACATTTTCAAACCCAAAACGAGGCAGTGGCTAATCGTATAATTAATCCACTTTATCGGCTTCCATCTCCCCCTACAATTATCCAAATTCTGTTTCTTAGATGAGATAATTCATTATGATTTATACCAAAAACAAACTAATTCTAACCCCAAATCTTCTCCAGTCGTAATAAATCCTTGTGAGATTATGAAACACTTCATGTTCACAATTCATGCAAATATAATCTACATTGCACTTTTAAAAATATACAACAAACAGCTAATAACACAAATTATATGAGATAATTGAATAAAACATTTTAATCATCACAGAAATATTACAGTATTATGATGAGGATTATTTTATATGCATTTCTCTCTGAACAAAGCCCTGTACAGATATCCATTGGTATCTTACGATATGTGAAGAGATTTTATATTCCAAAAAGACCGACTAATTCAGTGGTTCCCAACCGTGACCCATGACCCCCCCCCCCCCCCAAGAGGGTCACAAAGCAGTTGGAGGGGGGGCATTAAAAACCCCAAAATGAATTTTTGATGGAATTCTGTTATAAACTTTTCCCTTGGAACAAAATTCCACGTTCTCCATAGTTCAATACTATAAATATCACTAGAATGACGAACACGGGGGCCACGAGGGCTAAAAGGCTCTGAGGGGGGGCCACAAGCCACAAAAAGTTGCTCTGCTCGAAGGTCCCCTTGGGGAGCCACGCACCCTGTGAATGAACGTATTGTATTCTACATTGAAACCAAGAAATTTCAGATGCTCCAGAAGTGTGTATTTATATGGAGATAACTAATTTTGCTCATCTACTTTACATGTGTAAAGAGACTGAAGCCTATGGGCAAGAGGTATATTCAATCGGCTAACACAGACAGTCCCCGAACTCATAATAGAACTAAAATAAGGAAAATCGGAATTAAGGTATGGCCTAACCCTAACCTAGTACACACACTACAGAGGTATCAATTTTATATATCAAATATTGGTTTGTTTTAGACATCCAATTGTGAGTTTGTGACCTTCCTTTTTTGGGTAAACTTATAAAAAATTACATTCAAATTAAGTTTAAATTACTGATATAGAATAGAACATATAATACTGTATATTAACACAAATCATCATCGTCCTCATCTCCTATAAACTTATGTTGAGTAGTCGGGGCCTCCATGTTTTGTCCAGTTCCGCCAATATTGGGCGCAGAGTTCATTAGTGCATTCATTTTATTAGAAATGTCTTTCACAGCTGCTTCCTGGTTTGTTACTCTAGCTTCCTGGGTCGAGGGGTCATTGTTGGTGGCTTTTATAATTCCTGGGGCAGATTGGCGGGGCTGTTTTGATGAAGAGTAGCCCGGGACGCGCAATGAGCGGGCTAATTTTGCGTACACATTGTCCATAAATTTGAACATTGGTGTGTTGATAACTAAGTCCACTTTTTCTTGGTCTTCTTCATTGAACGCCTCGACCAATCGCATTAGAGCGTCCTGCTCTTCAGAGCCATCAAATATATCGGCATAATCACAAGCGGAATGAATCGCCTGCTCTGCTGACACCTAGAGAGAAGTTAGAATTGAGATTAATATTTTTCGAAAATATCTTTACGAAGCACTGCTAGAAATCTTTTTGCATTGCCTACCCGAACTCGATATATTACACACACTGTGAGGTTTTTACAGAGATTGTAACATCTAGGGCAGTGGTTCTCGAACTTTTTAAGCCACGCCCCCCTTTTTGTAATTTGTCAAGTCTCACGTCCCACCTCATAAATAATTAGCTAATAATGAGCTACAAATAACAGATAGTAAAGCGAAAGTATGTTTAATTCAAGAAACGCGTTGAAAAAGAAGGCAGACAGGATTAAATCTAACGTATATTTTTATTTGCTTCACGCCCCCTCAAAAAATTGTTTACAACCCCCCCTTGTGGGGCACGCCCAACCGTTTCAAAATCACTCATCTAGGGAGAAGTTACATATGGAATCAACTATATTTCAATCATGATCGACTCGTGTATTACTATGATGCTGTGTAGTGTGAAACTGATGAAAAACCTGGAATGTGTCGGAACCAAATTTGTTACACCATGAGTGAGGTTGTGAACTTGAACCACCTAAGATGACGCAAAAAAGTGTAAAATCCACCTAAAACCCCTGTGAAAGGTTAAAAAACTGTTGAAAAAATCCCAAAAACCTTGATGAAATGAATAAATGAAAACCTTACTAAAACTGGCTAAAAAACGCCACAAACCACCTAAAAAACAGAGTCAACAAAAAATTAAAAGTTCATCTTACCGGATCTCCAATGTGTAGATGTACGAGCACCAATCCACAAGTTAATCTTGGTATTGATTCCCCTCCCCCATCTGACTGGGAATACAACTGACATTCATGTCCAATAGTGTTGATCGCATCAGATAATTTATTATTTTGAAGCTGAAAAAAAAATTATTCGTGGGCTTCAAAACCAAAAACGAGAATATCGTTCAGAGACCGAAGACTTATCGATCGAAACTGCGGTTTCGATTCATAACTCTATAGTGACACCGCATGTCCCATCACTAATTAATCAATAACTCGCTAATTATAAGACATAATTAATCCAAAATCAATAGGCTTCTGGTCCGAGATATGATGAATGCACATGCAGAATTTGGAGCAGATTCAACCATGCCTTCGTGAAATATTGCGTGCATCTAACAGACAAATACCTATTAACATACTTACCGATCTAAAGATCGAGTATTGTATCACTCGCATGGCAAGATTTAGTTTAGAACAGGGGTTCTCAACCTTTTACTAATCGTGTACCACTTTACTGTCTTTTACTCTGGCCGCGTACTACCGCCCATCGCCAAGACCTTTTTTGAAGTGGGGAACAATTGCGCAAGTAACGTGATATGAGAGTATTTTAAAATGCAGCACAACATCTTTTGTGACTTACCGTGTTTGATCGTTTTGTAGCCCGGGCCTATATTTTTTTCAACCAACTCACTAACCGGGCCCTTATTCAAACGGCCCTTTTTCAAGCACGGGCGCTTGTTATTTTCGATCGTTACAATAATTAATATATTGTTATTTCCAGTTCTCAAGTATGATTTAAACTAGAATAACGAAAATTTAGACTTTCCCTACGCAACCGCAGGTACAAATCCGCAAAAGAAGAAAAGTTTGGCGATGCCCTATCAATATTGAAACGACGCACTTGGGCTTGTTTCCTATTGTTCCCTACCAATGTAAAATCAGCTTTTACATTGGGCGGGTATTCAAGCACCGGCCCTTATTTATTTTTATGTTCTGTTCACACGGGCGGCTATTCAAACGGGCCCTTAATCAAGATCGGGCGGTATAACGAGCATATACGGTATACCAAAGTACGGGTGAGGGCGATCTTTAAAAAAAAGGACTGGTAGCGCTGCAAATCGCTTAGCGAACACATACAGTATGAAAGATAAAAAGAAGATGTTACCCGCATATTTTAGTCAATTCAATGTTGTACAGGTACCACGAGATGAGAACCACTGGTTGAAAATAAAAACATTTGGTTTGGTTGGTATTGGTTGAACCAGTATTTTCAATCAGGAGTAAATTTTGATGATTTGCGAAGGAATACAAAGAAATAAAACTTTGTATTCAGAGTATAAGAGAGATATTTAGAAACTATGATTCAAATAAGCGGTACTCCTGAAGTATGCGCACCAAGATGCCGTACAACCTGAACCTAACCTGGTACACAACCTGAGTTCAGGTTGCGCGTCATCTTGGTGCGCATACTTCAGGAGGTCCAAATAAGCAAATAAAGTTTTTGTGAGAATATACCACTCCCCAGACTTAATCCTAGATCAGGGATACTAACTATTTTTACCAAAGATCCGTGAACAAAACTTCGAAATTACTGGGGTACGGTTTTTTCAAAAATTATATTTCGACATCATTAAATACACACTCCCTTGTCTGGGTAATTATTATTCGCTAACCAAGATAGCGCTATTCGCATTGTTTATTATGGGATATGGTCGCCAGGTGCATATATGAGTAAATTATATAATAAACTTTGAAAATTTCACATATCCCCAAGTGGGACCAATTATCTAGAACAGGGGTTCTCAACCTGGGGTTTGCGAACCCCCAGGGGTTCAAGAGAAGATTTCCAGGGGTACTTGGATGACAGTCGAGTTTTCGTGTGTTGCTTTTTTTAATATCCTTTAACAAAGAAAGTAACCACAAGAGGAAAATATGTGCCAATTGAAACTCAGCGTACATTTTCCCTAATCTTACGTTGTTGTGATTGTGACGCAAAAATGTGAAATGCACGGCTTGGCAGTCGTAGCAGCAAATTGTAAGTCAATATATCACAATTTAGTTTAGTGTGTGATTACTGGGGGTTCGCGTTGACTGTTTCGTGACTTTGGGAGTACTTAACAGAGAAAAGGTTGAGAACCCTGATCTAGAAGAAAGAATTAGGTACAATCCAAATCGAATACTCGAAAGATTTGGATTCAGACCGTGGTCTGCCAGTCAAGTGGCCCTGTCCTAGATAAAGTTGTGGTTAAGAACTCTGAACCCACTATTTTTAACACCAACATAGTTACATACCTGTAATCGAGATGCTTTTCCAACCAACTCAGCCGCTTGTCTGAATCTTGAATCATCTTCATTCTGACAGATTTCAGCCGCCTGTAGGTAAGAAATTACCAGAATTAACGCAAGAAAAGGGGAAATTTTATTTTCGAGTCATTTTTAAGGCAATATAACATTTCATAGATTGGACCTAGGCATATCTAGTTTTTTCCAAAATAAAATAGGTCCATGCATATCATGCAAGAAATGCATTAAATATTTTACTTTTATTAAAATTGCAAAAGTAGAAAAGTTGAGATCTGTGTACCGAGCATTAAAAATAATTTTCAGAATTGGTCCCAATACGACAGTAAACAGTATAATCCAATATGAATCCATCTTATTGAAGATATTGATATATTGACCCAATTATCAATAAATAAGCAATATGGAGAAAACAAAATAGTAGAGTAAGTAGGCCTATATATGCTTTAATAATACAGAAGTTCCAAAATTTTTCTTTAGTGTCTGTGATATAAATCATGACACATTGTAAGAAAATTTGACTATATTATTATTAAAGAAAAACTACATATTACAGCTATTCCAAAAATATGAAGCCCATAAATTACCGTAGATTAACAATTTTAATTAATGTGACATGCTTTCGTGCTTATTAGAACCTGTCACCATCACATCTACATAAATTTTAAAAAAAATGTACGACTTATTTCTAAAAGCCATGTTTAATATAATAACTTGAGACAGAAATTTGGATTAGCAATCTTATGTGCGTCAAAGAATTTTATTTCTATTAGTAGAGAACAATAGCAAGCAACAGTATTCAAGAACTGGGCAAGGATTTATATAATTATCCCAGGGGGAGAGAAATGCAACAAAGACTTGTTTTTTTACAACAGTTGATAATCAAGAGGAACTGATAAAACAGCCTATTATAAAAACATACCTAAATGTTTCGTTTTGTATTCGCACATTTTATTAGTGACTGCTCTACTCGCAGACGAAAAAAAACGGTGTATTTTTATGTAAAATTCGACAGTGAAAGACCATATTACACAATATCCATATTAAGAATATTCACTTTATTAATTAATGGCACTGGGTTGATATTATTTATCTTATCTCATAGATAAGAGTTGATAGTGTGATAATTTAATCCCAAGGATTCATCATGCAGAGATAGATCATACTATTACTAATTCATGATTCAATGTCCCTTATGACATAACCCCACGTCAATGTATGTGATGACTATGATTTTCAAGTGTTGGTGTTATTGTATAAGAAAACAGCGGAGATGGCCAAAAAAGGATAATTAACATTCTAATAAATTCTAAAAAAAAAATTTCGAAATATGGAATATTGAAAAACTTCTTCATTGGGTCGTGTTCATTAGATATTTCAATAAGCTCAATATTCAATAGTTTTTAGGTGCTCCCGCAGTACATGTACCAGGTTAGGGTTAAGCCATACTTTTATCTGATTTTCCTCATTTTAGTTCTATTACGAGTTCGGGAACTGTCTGTGTTAGCCAAGTGAATATACCCCCTGCCCATAGGTTTCAGCCTCTTTACACAACTTGATGTAAAGTAGGCAAACAAAATTAGTCACCCTCACATTGGTACACACTACACACACTTCTGAAGAACTAAATTTTATACGTATTGCTACAAAAATCGGAGAAAGGCACATACAGCTCACTAAAGATGACATCACTACTCTACAGACATCGACCTTGCTACGATTAAATTATTTATAACTTGCTCAAAACTGTCGACACATCGAATATACGATATGGGTGCAATTGGCGCACAGTGGTACCCAAACTTTTCTTCAAGCGACCCAAATTATTCAAAAAATAAATTTTGTGAAATCTCGTGACCCAAGGATATGCCTAAATACTAGGCGGGATGTAATGCTTATGCATGAAATGGTTACAGAATTAACTGACTGACTAATAATGAGGACGCAAGTATTTACATTGTGATAGTTCCAACAGACAAGTACGATTGAGTCACACTTTAATACAAATATAACAAAATAAATAAAATTTAGAAAATAAAGCAGTAACTTTTAGGTTCTTGTTGAAAAATGAAACGACCCAAAAAAATTTCCAGGCCCAATTTTGGGCCGAGAACTATAGATTGGGAAACACTGGTCTAGCAGTTAAAGTTTTAAGTTTAATTGTGTTGGGATCGCAAGTTATACATATCGAGTTCGATCCCATGCCCACCCCCCCCAGGTGGTGATCAGGGGCGCACCCAGGGGGTGGATTTGCTGGTGGGAACCCCCCTTTAAAAATGTAAAAAGCATTTCTTCTGTTTCATACATAGCAGTTTTCGTAGCTTGAAACGATTTTCGACATCCAAGTAATCTTGAAAACCTACGTTTTCCGACCCCCGACCGGACCTGCTTGATGAAAGTTTCAAAATTGGGAACAAAAACAAAGTTTTTTTTTAAAAGATAAAGATATAAATGAAACGGACCTTCATATATAAACTGATGGACCATTCCGCATTGACCATTTCCGTCATCTTTCCTGCTCTTTCTAAGCAAAGAACTGCGGTGTCAGGAGTTCCATTCTCCATGTATATGTCTGATGCTCTGTCGTAATATGCTAAAGCTGTAGAAAAAAAAAATCATAAATATGATTGACTTTGGATTAATTCTTGCTTACTTATGCTTTGTAGAATTCTCTTCTATTTTGCTCTGATTTCCTGACTTTCTGGGTTTCTCAAGCTGGCCCTGGGTGTGTTTGACAGAATTCGGGGAGCCCACGAGCAAAGGCATTTAACGGATGGGACTGTGTGTATTAGCCAAGTGAATTTACCCACTGCCCATAGGTTTTAGTCCCTTTACACAACTTGAGTTACCTCCATATTGGTACACACACTTCTGGAGCGCCCACAGCTTCGTGTAAAAAATAAAGTTACCGTACCTTTATTATAGTCATTCAGTTCTCTGCAAGCATTCCCAGCTTCCTCGTATGCTTTTGCGGCATGGAATCTCGCTCCAAGCTTATAATGAGCATCGGCTAATCTTTCATATGCAGCGTATGCTTTCTCATATTGCCTGAAACAAAGAGGATTAAATTTTCATCTGTATTTCTTCGCGTGGAGAGGAAAAATCCAATAAGACAACTCAAATGATGAAATTTACTGTTTCTTTTTATATTTTTAAAAATTTTCAATTTTTTAACATCGCATTACAGTAGAGTAGAGCACAGTTCTCCGATTTCAAGAATAGCCCCCACATCGAAAGACATCAATCATAACAGTGAGTGAGAAGCACGACTCCACGAGTCTGTGCCTTCATATCGACTCAATACGACAAACTGACAATGCGCAACAAACTTTAAGAAAGCACAATCTAGAAACGTCAAAAATATAATGTCATTTATCAACGAAAATTTTTTCATCTAGCATTTTAGAGTTTTTAGCAAAAAAACACAATTTTAGTCATGTGATCGTCGTCACACATCACAATTGAGTTAAATCATTACTGAGACAAGCTCGGCGCAATCTGACAAAGATCTGCTGTAGGGTGAAAGACAAATAAAGCATTTGTTTGATTAAACCAAATGGAGGGACATTTGTGAAGAGAACTGTGCTCCACTGCTTCCCGGAGAGGGAACCTGTCATATTATAAGATAAGATAAGATTTTACCTCGATTCATTCACAAAAACAAAATAAACATATATATACAAAAGATTAAGGCGATGAATCTGAAAAGTGAACAAAACCTAATAAAATAAGTTTAAACGTATTAAACGCCTTCACTTACCAAAGAAGAAAACAAAACAAGTCACAAACAAATAAACATGAATACTGACGGCGATCATTACTCAGGCGTTTCACTTGGTAATCAGGTTCCGTGCAATTTTTTCAAAACAAAACAGTGAATCAAATATCTGCAGTACGTGTGATGGGGCATATATATCACGGAGAGGGGACTCGTTATATTATAATTTTTAAACAACTTCCAAGGCGGCAAGGGAATGTATAACAAAATCATAGCTCAAACCGACTTGCGGCTTAAAAACCCTATCGGATGAAAAGACCAGAAGTCTGTAGACTAAAACAGGCACTAAGGCAAGACAGTAAATTCTGCAGATGCTAAGTTCTGAAGTTTGCGAAAGCATTGCTCAACTCTTCTGTCAGTTTGGCCTTAATTTCATAGTATAGTTGATTGGTTTTGTAGGCCTACCACTGCACCACTGAATTATTATCAAATTCCAAGTACTACTGTTATATTTACAAAACCCCATCACAACTTACTTAGCAAGCTTGAAGGCAAGCCCAGCATTCTGAAACGAAGCTGCTGCGCTGTCATAATCAGGTCTCCACTTGAAAAATCCCGTTTTTAAATGTTTTTCTGCTTCTTCCATATGCTGCAAACCTTCTTGGAGCTTTTTCGCAGCTCTATCAGTCATTATTTAGCTTTCTAGGAACTTAATTCTAGAAAAATCTATCAAAATGATCTTCCTAAACTGCGCTATCGCACTACAGACAGACAACCAATTCTACGTTGAACAAAAATCGATTCCGTGTTTTGTCAACAACTGGACATAATTTCCATGCAGATAAATTAGGTGAGCCCTTTAATGTTATATTGTCAGGAAAAACCACTGATTAAATTTACATTAATTTCATTTAGTGGACACTGATTTTAGGCGGGTGATATTAAAATTTCTAAAAATTTTGCTATACGTCGATCGACCATGGTCCGTTATTGAAAAACTTCAAAATGAAATGGCGTTTTGTGCTGACAAATAGTCATGTGATTTGTAAATATTTCAAAATTGTGTCGTATGAGCATTTCACGTACAATTATTCTTAAGGAAGGACTCACATATTTTTCCCGGGGGAGAGGAAAGCCGATAAAACGGTTTACCCAAATGGCGAACCACGGCCTCTCGTCCGGTTACCGGTCAAGGTCGGGAATGGAATTAGTTAGCCAGTTATTTGTTTTCGGAAGCGTGGATTTGATGGTGGAAGAAGCCCGAACCGACCAGCGGTTACGTGAACCACCCTACGGCGGCAAATAGTCCAGCGATCCTCTCGCACATAATCATCCCCGCATGGGATTCGAACCTGCGAACCCACGAAGGGTAATCAGAGATGCGCTGGCGAGCGTATTCCTAACGCTAAGCACGATGCGCCACACCGCCAAGCCTAAAATCTGAATTTCTCCCGGAAGCAAACAGTTCCCAACTTTCTAAACTTTAGTATATCTTCATTAAACGGGGAATTTGACGCCAAGGCTGTGCCTGTGATTTTCAACACCGATTAATCGCAATTACCATATTTATATTGTCTGGACGTGAGTCTATTCTGTAGTAAATTTTAATTTACAAAAGTGTAGGGTTTACTGCATTATCCGAGGAGCAAGAAAATCCGATTTGCGGTTTAATACTATAACAAACCACGTATTTTAATTTGTTTATTTGTCCAGTTAGAGTGGGAAAATAACTAAACATTTAATTGTTAACATCGTTCGAGGCGGGTGATACTGAATCGCAGGGAAATACATGTATGTATGTTTATTTGCCTCAAAAATGTAACAGTATCCGCATAATAATTAAACAGTAAAACAGAGACGGGATACATGTACAAGACCTTACTGGCCTAAGACGCAGATGTGCGACATGTACGCCTAACAATAATAACAGCAGTTTAGGACTGCTGCGTTATACTAGGACAACAGACATGAAATTGACTATACTGTACAAATAAAACTCTAGTAAAATACACAAGACAAAGAGGTACGGCACAACGGCGATATGTAGGTTACGATAGTCAGTTTAGGGCACGTCCATATCCCAGGTTCCGGTGTGAAAAGATGGAGATAGCATAGGGTATGGGTCGCTGAATTGATATGTTTTTACACTAAGTCTCACCGGTATGTTAGTCGTTGGTCTCACGAAACACGTGAATATTTGTTCGGGATATAAACTTGCCAGAAACCAACGTTGGATGGGCCCACGACACGAGAAAAAATTTGTAAAAGATAAATGTAGAAAACCTTTGTTTAAATTGTTTTTATTTTGAATTTTGTTTTTGAATTGTTAATCATAGTTTGTACTGGACCAAAGATATTGCAACAATAGAGAGTCTGGTATAAAATGCGGTCACTTTCATAAGCGCTATTGTGTGAAATTCATTGTCGCCATGTCTCATCTCTCGCATGATAATTATAAATTTTTATTGAATGATCTAGTTTGCATAATTGACGATCCAGCGAAGGAAGTAAATAAACAATAAAACTATGCGGGAAAGAGAGACAATAGATCCGTGGGGTCTTGTTTTCCGATCAATGGAGGTTTGTTGCATGATGACATTGTTAATCGATTGGGGGTATTTTTCATTTCTGTAGTTCTTTTCTCATCTACTATATACTCTTTGTATCTGAAAAGTAAGATGTCCTTAACTCACTAAATCTAATAGAATTCCAATAAATGTCTCTTAAACTTGGATCTAAATTCGAACGTCGTTTTCGAGCTTTTAATACTATTAGGCAATGGGTTCCATACTTTAGGTTCAAAGAATGTGATCGATTCTTGTGCTATTGATGTCCTAACATACGGAACAAACAATCTGTCGTGACTTCTGCTATTCCGGGTTATTATTATTCGCGAATACGCGATTAAAGCAACTAGGGAGTTGACCAGTAGAAGATAAAAACATTAATGTGCAAATCTCTAGTGTTACTTAACGTTTACATAATCCTTGAGTCGGCCCATATCAGTTCGCGCAGCCTATTTCACTGCCAAGGAAGAGATTGTTGATTTTTGCACTACTACACTTATTTTATTGTAAATTTTATTGCGGATCCTCGTAGTTCAGTTTAATATTGTTTTAAATTAGCGATATTTCACAACAGGCGCGGCGGTGTGGCTCAACGGGCTAAGCGTTAGGAATACGCTCGCCACCGCACCTCTAATTACTCTGCGTGGGTTCGCAGGTTCGAATCCCATGCAGGGATGGTTATGTGCGAGAGGATTGCTGGACTCCTCGCCGTCGTTGGGTGGTTCACGTAAGCGCTGGTCGGTTACGGCTTCCTCCACCACCAAGTCCATGCTTCCGAAAACAAACAATGTAACTAATCCCATACCCGACTTGGAATGGTAACCGGACGAGAGGCCGTGGTTCGCCATATGAATAAGCCGTCTTATCGGTTTTTTTCTCCCCCGGGATAAATATGTAAATCCTATCCTATCCTAACATGAAAGAATATACTTGTCTGTGACTATGATATTTTGAAAATGGTTGGTGTCGCTGTTGTCGTCATCACTTGCTGGTGCATAGAGCAACAATGGCCGCGGAACTCGCTTTTCTGTCGAAGGGGTTTTCGAAGGCTTATAGTTTACGTTCATTCGTCGCTTCTTTTGCGTTCTTTTCGCTTGCTTATATTGACATTACTTATTTGAGTTTTTATATCATGGTAGTAACTCATTGCTTTTACTTCAGATTATTTACTCAATGTATAATAGATCACCTAAAAATATGGCAGGGAACAAACGCGGAGGCGGAAGATTTTATAATAATCACAATCGAAATCATAACCAAGGAAACAACAGAGTAAAAATGGAGTCGTCTCCACAGAAACATTCAACACCGCCGCCACCTAAAGATATTGTTTCTAAGAAAGAATCAAATACTGTTCACGTTACAAATGATCATCCACAAGAAGAAGAATCCAGTAAGATTTTTTTTTTAAACTCTGAATAACGTTAGGCTAGATAGTTTATGTTGAAAACTCCTTTATACACGCAAATAAAAATGAAGAATTTTGGAGAGCGAGCTAAGTCTTTGGAAAAGTTTAAACCATGAAAAATATCACCAGCACACAAATTAAAACGATAAAAAACACAAACCCAGTTAAACGAGGCTTGGGCCAGAAATAGGGTCTCGTATAGGGGTCTAGTATAGTTTAGTACCAAAAGTACTTCCAGTTAGCGTATCAAAACGAAATTTGCATATGTTATTCCTAACCCCCACCTGACTATGCCATCCAAAAATTACATCACTGCGACGTCACCAACACGTCATAGGGCTTTGCCAAAGTATAATTACGATCGCCCAAAATGGCATCTGCGTCGCCGATAACGAACTCGCTAAAGCCGGCAATCTCTCTGTACGGTATTGCGCTTTTGCACTGACTGACTGATATGAAAAACATTCAAGCTAATAATCACCAATTCAATCTGATACAGTAGGATATTTCCTAATTTAATGTTTTTCTCACTTAAAAAGTCTGTAATTGTTTCAGCTTCCATTTTACAGTGTCGGTGAATCTTCAATAACCAAATGCTAAAATTGTAGGATATGGAATGGCACATATTTATCTTCTGTAAAAACTATATTGAAATAAAAATACGTTTTTTTTTGTTCTTTTCCATATGCTTGAAAAATATTCTATTTGTGAATAGAATAAATGTTATTCCTAGCCTAACTTCTCATTCAATGTTTCCTATTTTTCAAAAAAATTTGCCCTAATCGGTGCCATATACTCATATAAGCACAAAGGAAACTCATCTCTTAGCAGAGTTACAAGCGACCACTAAAATACATCATTTGTATTAATATTCCTCGCATCTGAATATTGTTAGCATCTTGAAGCCGCAAATAATTTTGTTACAAAAATCTTCATTTCTTTAGCTCAAAGACCCGCGGAAAAGAAGTTCACACAAAGAAGTCGACTTTTTGTTGGAAATCTTCCTCTTGATATGTCAGAGCAACAATTTAAAGATTTGTTTTCAAAATATGGAGAAATTTCAGAAACTTTCATCAATGCGGGAAAAGGCTTCGGTTTTGTTAGATTGGTAAGATATTTGGGCCTGAAAATGCAAAGAAATAGAAATATTTCTGCTGAAAAACGGGTGAAAAAAATGGACACTACAGTAATATTAACCCTAATTTCATTCACCCAAGGCTTGACTAATTACGCTTTATAGATTTCAGTCAGCAGCAGTGTTCACTATTAGCGCACTTTTTTGCGAAAATTGCGAAGCACTTTCGCAACTCTTTTTAGGGACTGCGAAATAGCACTTTTTTCCGATTTTGAAGAGAAATAGCACTTTTTTCCGATTTTGAATGGAATAAAAATTCAAAGTTAACAAATATTTTCGAGTATTAAGTTGACAAATAAGTAACATACTAGTACTTTTGTAACTCAATTCTGCATATCATAACGATATTTATCGGAATTCTAACCTATGAGATGCAGACATAGGAGATAAAGCTTTTGCATTAACCGCAAAATTCTTGTTTATAATATGATTATTATAAAGCACACGGATTCCGCTTCTCCGGCAAAAACGCTCCCGGGGCGTTTCTTTGAACGAGAGTGGTCACGTGACTATCAATGATATCATGAATTCACAATGACTATAAAAGTGTTAGTAAGGGGTTATAGGCTAGTCACTTTGGATGAATTGTGACCAAACTGCACGATTTTCAAATCAGACGAAACTTTTAGCAGCATGTCACAGATTTGCAAAATCAACAAATTCACAAAATACCATTAAGTG